AAACAAACCGCCGCCGGGCTTGTCGTCCTCGGGCACCTGTATGCGGTTTAGCATGGTCTGCAGATGCTGAAAATCTTCTTGGCTGCCGCCCTTGTCAGGATGGGCGGTGAGTGCTTTCTGCTTGTAACACTTTGAAACGGCCTCGGGCTCTGCGTCTGCAGCGAGTCCAAGGAAGGCCAGCGCAGAGCGACGTTCCAAGGCCGCCACGCACTCGGCAGCTTGATCCCGCCAGCGCTGCAGTGACAAAACCTCTGCTTCCAGGTCCCTAAGGCTCAAAAGCTCTGACCAATCCTTCTGGATTTCAGAAGCGATCGCCGAGGGCTCCAAAGCACCCAAACGGGCACGCTGCTCTTGGTCAGACAGCAGCTGTTCTTGTGAGCACCGCTCTAGGAGGGGCAGTGCCACAACTCCTAGGCCAAAGACCGCAACTCCCGCCGCTACGCGGGGTTCACCGTGCTGCAGCAGCAAACCAGTTGCGTCAGAAGATGACCTCGCCTTAGTAAGCCCTGCATCATCATGGTAAGGCACCAAAGCCTCGCTGCATTCCAGGACCGTCATGTTCGGCGCCGCTGTTTCATGAATGAAGGTCTGTCTTTCAAGCTCGCAGGAAGGGGATAGGCTAAGCTGCTAAGCACAGTGGAGTGACTCTAACCAGTGCTAGTGAGGTTGACTTGTTATCCATTCAAGGCAGGTGCCGGTACCAATGTAGGCTCCCCGAGATTGAGCGATAAACGATTTTGCAGGGTTCTGGAAGAGAGAAAGAACTGATGCTCACTGAGCTGAAGCTGCGGGCTTCGCACACAACATCTGGACAACTTTACCATTGGCAAGGTCATCCCATCCAACCGTCAAACTATCCTTGAGAACTCATTTGAATACGCAAGAAGCCTTACAGATGCGGCATGCTTCAGGCCGCAGGACGGCAGGCACTCACGCTAATTTCAGGTATTGTTCAATGCCTGAACCTTATCTCACTTCCGCTCTGTGATCCATGATTGGAATTCCAACTGCCTGCAGAATTCCACTTCGCAGGAGTATGGAACTGAAGCCCTTCCAGCCAACAGATATTGACAAATACCAGGAACTTTGTTCTTAGTAGAAATTGCTTTGCCACTACCCTATACCTTGAAGACCAACCACCCAAAACAATCATGGGGTCTCAAATCCTGAGCCCGAAGCATGGTGCGATGAATGCCTAGGCTACACTGTCTGGAAGTTGTTATTCTAAGTTATTTTTAATAGGCATTCCTGCTTCGATACTTGCCAACGTTGAAGCATGCTTGGTACTATTCCTATTCCTTGCACGCTCGTGGGTAGTTGGCTTTCGTCTTTTCGCCTATAGATTATAGATCCCCTGGCCCAAGCACTAAAATTTCCATAGGCCCCAAGTCCTAAATAAACCAACCGTCAAAACCTGCAGCATCCTTGGGACAAGTCCCCAGGCACCTTTAAGAGCCACCCATTTGGAGGAACTCTTCGTTAAGTCAACATAATGGGTATATATCGTAATTACTCTGGTTTCCCCGCTATAGTAACCGAAATTACTTCTCAGCGACTCTTGAGCCAGCCTGCGTCTTGGTGGACTGCGGCTGGGCGACCTGAAGGATTGCAACGAACATAATTCGAAGCCAGTCGTAAAGATTGCAAGGGGCCGCAATCACTTTTCAAGCTTCGAGGAAACCACAGACCCTGAAAGTCCAAATATGATGCACACATAAATAAGTATACATGTATATTATACATGTGCGCGCTGTGGGTAAGTGGAATGTTGTTGGTCAGGGGATTGGGCTGCTTTATTTTGAGGGGCAGAGGAAATAAAAGCTATCATGCAACAGGAATAAGGATCAGTACAGTAGTTCCAGCGTTGTTATAACAACGTGCGAGGTTGTCTCAGGTATGTTTGGCCAACATCTACATGAGGTAAACTAATGCAAGTGGCTGTGGCAATAGGCCATAATTAGGAACCCAGTTGGGAGGACCCGCGATATGCGACGTGAGGACTTATGTCTATATCTGTGAATGTGCTCCTGTTATCATTGGATAGTCTGGATGCATTCTGCCTAACACATCTATCATGTGGCCTGCGTCTGCTTCGGCTGCGCTCCCTGGCGGGGCGCCGCTCATCCTGGCAAGGGCTTAAGCTCAGGTGTCAAAGTGCATTGGATTTTCCAGCAGCCGATGGGCCCAGGACCTGCTCTTCCCCTTCAAAGGGGCCAGTTGAATTGCCGAGCATTCTCTGCACTTGCTGCATTTCACCCCGCCTCATCGCGCATTGGCATGACCTTAGCAGTTCACAAGGCGTTTTGAGTTGCGTTGCCGCACCAGCGGCCTGGAAAGTATGAAGAGCTAGCTTTCAGGTCTCATGCAGGCTACGCGTGTGCTGCAACATTACAGATCGGCCATGCTGCCATGGTCTGCTTGCGAGCCTTGTTATTTCTGCATGAGGTATCCCTAGGATGTCCTAGAATTCTCATGCTAAAGGACCACTATGAGCATAACTTGAGAGGAGTCTATGTCACTTTCCTGTCAATGTCGGGTTGTGGTGGTGCTGTCATGAAGCAGCATTTCAGCATCTGCTTTTCATGTATGCGCAATCATAAAGGACTCTCAGCCCTCTGCATTGATAGCCAGTCGGCTTTTGCGCGCACTCAGCGGCTCCTTGTAGCTCTTCAGTTGCACTAGCATGGCTGCCCTACGGGCTGCTATGTTATCAAAGCTTCATCATGTGTCCAACCCTTTCGGGTGGGTGCACACAGCGCAGGCTCAAGCTAAGTGCGTCTGAACTCAGGTGCTGTTTGACCCTTTGTCATGCTGCCTCCCCAGCATGAATTCAGCCCTCCCCAAACTTTCCGCCTCGATGTCAAATTTGATTCGTTGATGGTTCCTTGGGTGCATGCAACAGCTGCTTCACTCTGGGTGTAACATCATCCTGTTGCCCGTGAGTACGACAAGCATGTTCAGCTCTGCGTGCTTGCTGCGGCTAATACACCAGTTTCGCAAGCTGTGTTGAGACATTGGCGGCCTCTTGCCCGGGCCCTGGTCCTACCCTCACGGCCAAGGTTGCCGCAGGTGTCGTGACGGCGAAAGGTAATTAGGCAAAAGTGACACATGTTTCACAGGCCCTTAGCCGCAGAACAGGCAATCTTTCCCCCCTGAGCTGCGCGCTTGAGGCCAAATATCTTTGCCTCGCTCCGTAGTTTAGGGTCCTGCAAAGGCAAATAGGAAGCGAACACAAGTCAAGGATGTGCAGGACTCTGGCTGGTCTCCTTAATACTGTCGGCGTAGAGGAAGAGATCGCCACCGCTGTCCCTATCGCCATCTACCTGGCTGTCCTAGACCTATCTTTCACTCAGTGATACATCTAGGCTTAGTCATAGCAACGAACAACACACTCTTTACCAGTGGGAGGCCCCCTGGATGGCTTGTAACCCTAAACCCTAGCCAGGATCCCATGTTGGCGTATTTGGGCAATTCGCCCCTGGAATTTCTAGGTTCCACAAGGTTTCACAAAGCCGGACTGCAGAAAGAGTCACCCATGCTCTTGCATGTGTAGGACGAGATCCACCGACATTCGGCCAATTGCAGGACTGCCGCACCTTCACAAACCCAAAGCCTTCTGAGTTGCGCCTGCCTGGCCTCAGCAGACCAATGCAAGGCAGCTCTCAGGCTCACCCTTTCAAACCAAATGGCCTTTCTTCAGCGCTTGCTTGCTTGCTTGCTTGCTTGCTTGCTTGCTTGCTTGTGGATGAGCCGACCATGCGGCACACGTTGCAACAAATGACGTTCCCTTATCCTGGTCAGCTCTGGCCAGGCACTCTTGATCCCCTCTCTGGCTTGATAGGTTTGCAGGCTCTGGGAAGCATGATGATGAATAGGATTGCCCTGCCCTTGGGGCTGGCGGCTTCCGACCTAACCAAACCCATGTTTTCAAAAATCCGCAAACCCTGCGCATACTCTGATTGACGTTGCTTCAAGCCTTGGTAAGCATGAGCGTGCACAGCCTTCCTGAGGCTACGGCTTTGGGAAATTCCAATTGGAGACAGTGCCGGTGGGCATGTTCTCAACCTTGCAACTGGATAGGCTGAGGACCAACGTTTAGAACACTTGAGTATGGGTTTGGGGAGTGTCTCAAGGTCCGCTTGTCAAGCGGACTCAATGGTACTTACGCGCGTGGGCTCTGGACTTGTATACGGTGTGAGGCTTGGCATGTTAGCTAGCGGAAGCCTGTCCTACTTTGGACGGTGCTAATGCATGTTCGAATTTCCACCTGCGTCGTCAACTGTAAGATCTTGTTCCCCTTTCTCAAAGCAGGAAGCCCAGATTGATAGTCTGAACACCAACATTTAAGCTCCGAAGCCGGTTCTACCGGTTAAGCTTTCCGACGCAAAGCTCCCAAATGTGCATGTGTGGACTTCTGTTTGAGCCCTACACCAAAATGCAGGCTGCAGACTGCATGTTTATTAGCAGCCTATCTTGTGCTTCTTGTTGCTCAAGAGTTCCAACATCTTCTGAAATCCCAGTTGCGCAGGGTGCAAGATCTTGGTGCCCAGCTCTCTCCCCGACGTCAGTTTGTGGCAGCGAGTATTCCACAATAAGCTTCCAATCGCTATGTAGTGTTGGTCGTGTAATTGTGGCTCTTCTGTTTGAATGCCAGACCTGCTTGCTCATGTCTGCGAGTTGATTCTGAAGATGTATGTCATCTTGATCTTGCTCACTCACTAACGCATGGGGCTTGCTCAAACAAATGGGACCTGTCAACGTTTTGCACTACCCACATACTTGAACCTTTCGGCAACATCGGTTGACACACTTGCCGTCAGTCACCCTGCACAATCAGCATCCCCAATGCATTCATGTGTGGCCCGGTTGAATCCCATTGCAGCCTTGCACAAGCCATGCAATGTATATGTACCCTGAGGGAAAAAAGTACTGCTGAAGTCGTGACTGGGATTGCCTGTGAGCTTAGCGCATGCTTTCCGCTTTGCACAGCGTCTTTGCGCTTAGGTGGCAGTCTTGCATTCGAGCTTGAGGTAGGCCGACACCTGTGGGGCCAGGGGCTTGTTTGGCATGAAACCTTGTGAAAATAACCTGCACAATTTGTAGCATCTGGAATTGGAATGTGTGTAACTACAGTATTAGGTCTTTCTCCGAAACACCTAGTACTCATCCCAGGCCTGCGCAGAACCGGGCGCAGAGCCGCCACGGAGCTCAAACCCTCCGCCCTGTGGCAAGACCTCCGCAGGATCGGATTAGTTGGCAGCAAAGGCTGCTAGGGGCATCTGCACTCAGTGACTCAGGGCACACAGATTCACCTAGACTTTCGCCAAACCTTAACACGTTGCAAGCTCTTCAGAGTGTGGCTGAGCTCAAATTTCTTTGATGATCCCACTTTGTGGACCTCCTGCACATGTCTTGACCCTGAACACCTGCGTTCATCCAGAAACCTCAAGGTCCTGAGCCATGGCCTTTGTGCAACTTGGGCGGACATCGCAGGCTCTTTGGGCCTAGAGCTTCGCACGGCTTGGGCTCTGTGCTGGAGTGTTTACGCCTCAGACTGGGGACAAAAATTTCAGAAGCAGCTTCCGGTTTGAGGACAGAGTTGCCCACCAGAAGAATCAGGATCCAAAGTCGCAAGCAAACCATAGCTCAGGGCTTAATTCTTAGCTCTGTTGAAGCCCCCTACACCGTATAAACTACTACAAAGTCCGAGTTTCCATTCAGTTTGGAATGCTCCTTTCCATTTGATCCTCCATTTGGGGGGCAACAAAGAGGGTGGCAGTTCTACGGCATTTGAGCGGAGGAAGTCTACCAGTTTGGGATCGCTGCCTTCTGCGTGCGAAAGTATCGCACTGTGACTTGGATTCTAGTGAATACCTGCGGCGACAAGCTTTCCTATCTTCACAACTTATGACGGCAGCAACTGAGAGCTGACGGCCATTCAGGGGCCACAACTTACAGGTCTGAAATGAACCTCGCCAGCCAGGCTGCGCGAATGGCATCTCTTCAGCACAAGTGTCAAGTCTTATCCTTGATAATCTAGATAGCCCCGGAGCGTTCAAGCCGCTGGTTGGAGTTTGATTGCTAAGCCACGCCTCCTCCAAAGTGGAAAATTCGTGGCAGAGAAGATCACAAACTCCCTGCTCTGCTGTTTGGCTTGTGCTGTACTCGCCTCAGTTGTTCTACAGCTGGGTAAGAGTAGCCAGCGAAGTCTGTTGGGCTGCTGGTTGATGATGGAAAGCTTTCCCCCGCGCTTCAGACGGACACCTGCGGTAGTGCTGCTCACATCTTGCCAGTCATGACTTCAGCATGACCAGGACCAGGCTCTATCTGATCGCCTCTGACACTCTACGTGTATCTGCAGCCTGGACACACTTCTGGTTTGCAGCCTCCAGGGCTTGGTAAACGGAAATAAACCCTCAAGAATCGTTAATTACATGTCTCTGCATGTATCTGCACAATCTGGGATCCCCCCAGCCTCAGCCACTCGCTGTGACGCGGCCACAAAGCGCGGCTCAGCCCGCAGTCGGTCCATGGTGTCGTCGTGCACCAGCCACAGATCCTCAGCATCTTGGTGGACATCATGCAACCATGCCAAACCTTCTGGAAGGACTTGTACTTTGATTTGCGGAGCAGGGCCGTGAACTATCGAAGCAGTTTCTGGGCAATGTGCAAAGTCATGCCACCTCAGCCTTCCACAACCTGAAAGCAACTGCTTCCGCCGTCATGTCCTGCGATTGTTTCCATACTTTGCACATGCATCTTGCCTCCGAGGCTCTGTATGGTATCCTCGGACCACCTCAGCAAATGCAATCTTCTCCCTAGGACTTACTGTACTTCTCGCTTTAAGGCTGCGGTGTCTGGGGGTAATGAATGGACGGGAGCTCGTTGAGGTTGCGTTCACACGGGGACGCATACATACACACCAGGAGGGCCTCAGCGGTATGAGCATGTTCCTAAGCGCAGCAAAGCTGTTGCCATTCAACTCTCCCGCCATCTCTTCTGCGCGGCTCAAACATGCAGTAACGTTCTGCGATCCAACAGTCCAGCGTAGATCAGAATTGGACAGTACAAGCCTTCGAGCCCTGTTCCCACCAAAACACTTGCTCCGGTGCTGTCTCGACAAGCTTCGCTGCACGGCAGTCCACATGAACCTTGAAGGGCAGCTCTGTAAACGATTGCAAGCCGCATCAGCAGGATTCAAGTTTGGGTGCCTATGTTGGGTCAAATGAGAGTTCCCACAGTTTGCAGACCGGTAGGCGGCGATCTACCACGGCCAGTTTTGGCTCTCGAGCCAGTCCATGGCAGAAGCAGCCGAAGACCCGCGCGCATTGCAGTTCGAAAGCTCCAAAACACAAGCTGCAGTTTTGTGCCTTAAGAGTTGTTCCCGAGCCAATTTTTGCATCCGAGTGTCACCAGCCACTATGAAATCCTTGGTTGATCTCGGTTACGTTCCGGCGTCTCGCAATCATAACACCGCTTCCACTACGTCGTCCAAGAGTCTGCCTGCTTCTCTACGGCAAAAAGTGAGCTAGAATCCAATTTATTCATGGGGGAGCCTCATGCCTCGGGCTCCTGCATTCGCTGTACAACATGTCCTCTGCAAAAGTGAATGCTGCGCTTCGGAGGCTACTGTGCACATGTTACGAGCATGTTGGTGCGGATTGCTCTCTACAACCGTGGGCCTGGAACGCCAATGACAAAAATCCTTAATGCGAAATCTTCAGACCCCACTCTCAATCCTGAAGAACCACCGGGACATACCGGGACCACCGCAGTGTGTCCACGTCAAGGCGCCCAAACCTCTCGAAGCGCCTCGCCCTCTGCATCCTGGAGGTCGCCTCCAGCGCACCGCAGACCGGCTGGCAGAAGGATACCTAAGAGTGAGGGCTGAATAAAGTGTTGCCTGGAGACAAAGTCTGGCAGAGCTTTGGACGCAAGCCCACTGAAACATGGTTGGAGCTAACAAGGTAATGCCATTCACGTAAGTTTCAGTTTGGACATATGAGGCAAAGTCGGAGCGCCTCCCATGCATCTCGTCAAATGCAGTCCGAGCTTGAGACGCTCCATCCTACATCATGAACGCTAAGCCTCCCTGCAGCTAGCTTCAGAGCCAATATCACCCATTTTCATCCGAACGACATTGCCATGGCTTTGGCGACAGCTGCTGTAGAGTCTCCAGTGCTGTCTGCGCAGCCGGGGAATGATCATACTCCATCTGCACCACCTGCATTCGAGACCCAGGCCCCAGAACTCCTTGTCTGAAATTTTCACAGCAGCTCTCGTATGCTTCCGGTCGGACTGCTAGCAGCACACTGCCTGCTTTTGTGATCCTGGCCAGAAGTTTCTGCGCCTTGTTGGGCCCAATACAGATGAGCTTCATTGGGCGTGTGTAACCCGCATTCCTTTTCTTGCTACCTATTTGGGATCATCGGTTTGTCTACTTCTTATCGTTTTAAGAGGTTTTGGCTCGTCATCGTTTCTCTTCTTTTATCTTTTATCGTCTTGTGGGCTACCGTGCGCATTCTTAAACATGTTGATGCTTGACCAAAATCTTAGGCAGGGGTCACTATACAACACCCTTAATTACCCGGTATACCCCTATAATGAATAGTCCCCCACGATTCCCCATATAAGCCCCCCTTTAGGGAGTTCAGACTCTAGCTCATATCCTGCTGCGACAGGTCCGGCCTGCACTGCGCCAGTTGCCAGCAATGCCTTCCCGGAGCGGAAGGCCTTGCATGGAACGATGAAGGGGACTGGTTGAGCAAAGACATGACGCTTAATGTGTGTCCTCTATGCCCTCTGTTGCTCTGCTCTAGCTGACGCCTGATGACAATGACTAGACTCGAAGAATCTGCAGTTTGAGACTTCAATATCTTTAGTGTCCAAGTTACAGGGTTTGTGGTTGGAAGATGACAGAAGGCTATGGCCTGCGGGAAGACAGCAATTTCTGCGCTGCTAAGCATTCAAGGTAACTAGCCATAAAATTCTGGCTTGACAGCCGGCGCACGCAAGGATGCGCCAGGTTGTTTCAATGCGGCCTCAGCTTCGCATCCGCGACAATCAGCCTTCAGGAGACAGACCTGCAATTGCAGTGGCTGAGCGATCAAGTTCCACCCTGAAACAGCGTTGTTTAAGCGGGTTTGCCACCACGGAGACGCTCCTGTGAACGATTGCTGCGCTGGTCACAGGAACATGTACGTCAGACTGGAAATTTGCGTTGGTTCGGCCTCTGATTCCTAGGGAGACGGACTGCCAGGGTAATATTTGCCTGAAGCCCGGTGGGCATGTGATAAGGCTGACAACATGCCAGCCAGCCTTGGAATCAGGTGGCACAGCATCATCCAAGCGAAGGGCCTTCAGTTGCTTCAGTCACTTCTCTGACACGGGACGCTGCATGTATGGGAGGTTATGCGAGCTAGGGCGTGTGCCGGGGGCAGTTGGGGCGTTTTGCAGGAAAGCTCAAAATGGCAGTGAGTAGACACGGCTTTCAACCAAAAAACAAAACGTTTGTCAGGACGCCACCTCCAACATTGCCACAAGAAGAGCGTGCCTGTGCCTCGCTTCGGCCGTCGCCTCCTTCGCGTGTAGCAGACCTGCGGCTGCGTGACCCATTATTACTTTGGAGTCCATACAACATACCCATGTCCTGTGAAATGCTTGGCATACGCCGAAGGTGCTTCAAGTCTGCAAGAAGGCTCCCAACAACTCAGGAGCAGCTTCCGCCTCTTCTCCCACCAGTGCGTCTCGTCAACGTACAACTGGCCGGTTGCCTGAGCATCTTCAGGGCCCTCTACTGGCACCCATGGAGAAAAAGAGCTCTGATCAAAGATGCAGTAGACTGCAGCATGTGCTTCGGTCCTTATGAGGTCATACGTCTGAGTTCTGATTATCTACAAGCTTCATCAAGACCTTGCAAAAGTCCGGGGACGCTGAGGAGAATCACCCTAAACAAAGCTTCAGCTGGCCTTTAGTCTTAGAAAAGGGCAACTTCACGCGAGTTTTTTGAGACAACCTATCGATCCAGCTCACCCGAACGACGTAGCCGAGCGCGATGAGGCTGGTTCTGCCAGGACGCAAACACAAGAAAAAATGCGACGGCCTTCTCACGGCATGCATCATGCGTTCAGGCAATGTTTTTCAACACTCAGCGGAGCAGCCCCCGCAGCCTGAGTGATTGTCCGTGGTAGGCATCTCATATACGTTTTATAACGTGTGTATTTTTCGACCGAGAGCAATACCGGCTAACCGCGAACTCAATGTCAACAGCAATCAGGAACGTGCCTAACTTCTTAATCTTCAGAGTCCCCGCAGAATCTAGAACTTTCGCAAATCCCACAAGAGCGCTTGTGAAGGCAGAAAGCATACTAAGAGGTAGCGTGGTCGGATATTTGAAGGCCAGGCCTGGGGGCGGAAGCGCATCTTTCATAGCCTCTTCCCTCCTTCCTCAGACCTGTGCCTTCTACATCCCAAAGGTACTATCCACTCATTGAGTATAGCATTCCTTTTGGCATGGGGTTGTTGGCGGTTCCTCAGTTCAATAGAAAAGGAATCACACATACTAGCATGAAGACAAAGAGGAGGCCACGCCCCCAAAGGTGAATAGCTGAGTACTGAACCCATGAGACTTAACTACAGCCATGGTCTGGCTTCATGTGAGCTATAGTCTAAACTCCTAGTATCCCCCTTAATAAGCCCTCTAGTAGTCCCCTAAATAATCCCCTATATAACCCCCCTTTAAGGAGTTTAGACTATAGCTCATGTGATTTTTGCAAAGCAAATGCCTCCGCCAGACCACCATGCCGGAGCTCGACTCGACCTTGCCATCCATTCCTGCATCTGCCCAACGTCCGTGGATTGTCCAAAGTCAGATGAGCCACTGCCTAAACTCCTAGTAATCCCCTTAACAACCCCTCCCCTATATAACCTCCCCATATAACCCCCCCCGTAAGGAGTTTAGACTACAGCTCAGATGAAAACCCATGCAGAACTAGTTTCGGAACGCGCAAATGTGGCTGGCAAAACTTCATTAAGGTCTCCGTTGATGGTCCCATGTAAGGGCAACCACTAGAAAGGCGGTGGTTTGAACAAACACTTCGTGGAAACGGAAATGGCTTGATCACCTCATGCATGGACCTAACGCCATCCGATTTAGGCCATGTTCCAGGGTGAGGGAATTCAAGAATCCAGGGATGAAATCGTCTGCCTCTACCAGCTTTCCGAAGTGCAAATTCACGAGTCCATACCTTAAGCCTTAAGCCTGAATTGAAAACTGATGCTAGCTGTTACAGTTCGGCACCACAGGGTCTCCTTTAGCTAAGCCATCTGATGGTCAAGGGATAGCAACGGCCAATGTCCCTACCCTCAATCTCGCTGATCTGGGGCAACTGTACCAAACACTGCTTTTCGTGGCTTGAGTCCTCAAGTCTGTTTGATTGAAGTGGGGCTGGCTCGATGGCCACTGTGTCCGATCAGGACTGAGCATAACTGACAGCAATTCACCGTCAAATCACTTGATTGATTGATGAAGCATGCAGCCGCTAATCATCTAAAACAATTGTTGAAAGCCAGGGTGCAATTGAATGGTCTTCTCCATGTACCTGCACGGTCGGTGACTTGAGAAGCTCTGGGGCCCTCGTTCTGGCGCTTACTGAACGATAAACTTGAAAGTGAAACTATCAGCAACCAAGCAAATCAGACGAACAATGCTACCAATGCTTTGGCAGCAAATCTTGCTTGATGATGTTTGTGCCCTTGGTCCAACAATAAAGCTATGCACACCAGGATCACGTAGTTCCGCATGATTTTCACACCAAATTAGATTGAGGCTGTGTGTCTTGCAACTGGATTTTCAATACTCTCAGTATCAAAATTCTCTTCAGCCCTTCACACCATTTCTGCTTGTGCTGAGAGCCCTTTCAGCCGCGTGCAGCGAAGAATGGGCTCCCACATCTGCTGCGTGCTGCTTGCAGCGGTGTCCGTCGAGCTTGAGTGGTGCTTTGCCGTTTGAATGCTCCGAGCTGTCCTTTGTTGGCGGCGGTTCGTCGTGAAGAACGGGCTCCGGGGTTGCTTGGGGCTGCGGCGTTTGCTCACGGCTTTGGGTGAAAGACAGGTGCTTTTTGGGCCCGGAGAGGAGTGGCCCCTGTTGGTGCTAAAGCCAGGCTTGGGTGCTGTGCAGATGCCTTCGGGGCTATAAAAGTAGGATCGGGCGCAGTGAGCTTGATTACAACATATGTTTTGCTATTCAGAATCCCGCAGTGGAAGGATGGTCTCTCGTTTCGGAAGGTCGGCTTTTATTTGTTACCTGAGTCCGCTAAACAACAAGGTCTCGGTGTTAGATTTGAGATTCTGGCAGTACAGCTGTTTGGATCCGGGCGGCGGCAATTTGTCATTGGCTTCCTGGCCACAGCTGGCTCAAATAGTGCTAGTGCTTCAGGGTGCTGTGGGGTCCAGGCCTTTAGCAGTACGAGGTGCTTCGGGTGAAGCCGGGGCTCGAGTTGCTTGGGTGGTAAGGGGTTTGTCAGCTGCGTCCGTGAAAGGCGGGCTTTGGCCGTGGTGCTGCGAGCAACTGTGTCAGCCAACAGTTCCAGTGCAAAACGGTGTTTGGGCTACAAGGCTGCCGAAAGCATCTTGCGTCTGGATGGGTGGACTGTGGTGGAAAAGGCAGTTGTTGTTGTTGTTGTTGTTGTTGGCACGTAGTGCTTGATTGAAGCTAACTTTCGGTGGGGGCATTAGCCCATATTCTGGTAGTAGCAGAGTGCGGTGGCAAATGTTTGCGATTGTTCGGGCGAGTATGTTGCTGACAAGGCCCCTCACAAAATCCTTGCCCTGTACACCACCTGCAACCTATACACTGCAGAACTGCAGAAGCGGCGTGAACCAGGATTTGGTTTGTAAGCCAAGTGCTGCAAGATGCAGGTCGCGAAAGCAACTATCGGCATTGCAGGAACTACGATCGTACACCTCATCGCTACCCCGACTACGCCCCAAGTCCTGCAGTCAAAGCCTTCTTCCAACATGACATGTGTCGATTTAATCTCGTTTTGGATTCGACTAAACAAGATTTCTCCGAAGGAGCCTCAGCGGAGCTTTCCTTGGCTCAACAGCAAGGACTCGGAGTCCGCTGGCGGCCGCCAGCGCAGTGAACCATCCCAGACTCATGCCTGTGCTCTGCAAACTGACAATGAGATCTGCCATGGGCCACAAATACGAAGGGTCTGATGATCATAGTCATCGGACTTCTGAGGAAAGATTAAGGGTTTGACTCCAAAAACAGATCTGATCAATTGGCTGCTCAGGCTTCTGCCGCTGGCACTGGCATGAAAGCTTGCCAAGCTACCAATGTCGATGGCAAAGTTGAAGTCGCCAACCTTCTGGCAGCCAGGTTGCCGTTCACGAAAGGATTTATGACAGTTGACATGGAAGCAAAATCCATCTATTTAACCTGGAAGCCGGAGACTACCAAGTTTTTGCATGCCTTTCGAGTTTCAGTTGAAGTCAACAAACTTGAGTTCTGAGGGGACAACGCAACCCTCATCGAAGACCCATTCAGCCAGCAACGTCAACGGACCTGAGTCATGCCACAGCATGGGGACATGTAGAATTCGGGAGAAGATCGTTGTCTACCTTGGTGGTGACCGTTTTGCAAGTTCAAGATCTCTTCTCCAGCCGACTTAATGGAGGCATGACTGAGAAGAGGCTAAGCGAGTAGTTGAATCATTATGCAATCGGACTTGAGCCGGGGGTCACTCACGGAGCTTCTTCGTCCTCAGCTCCCTGGAAGCGTCGTCTTTGGCTGTCGCAGACACCGCATGGAGCCTGCGCTTTACAGGTTGGGATGCAGGCTCACCATCTTCCTGTGGAGCAGTCCTATCGAGTGTGTTCACTGTGTTCACCAGAACCGTTTTCAGGGATTCACGGTACTCCTTGAGAACGCAAAGTTTGCTTCAATGCCAAGCGGGCCCCTCTCTTAGCTCAAAGAAGTACATCCCCAAAAGGAATGTAGCTCCACACGGAACATGAATGGCCGGGTCAAATTCGAGCCAAGAAGCCACGAAGGTGTCGCCCACGTTCGGACAACCACTGCATCCTGAGAGCTTGAAACAACAGGGGGTTTCCTAAAATTAGGGCTACCTTTCACATTTTTTGGGGGTCCCCACAATGCGGAGTACGTACAGTCCCCCGATGTAGCGGAACTACCACATGGCAATGCTGAACTCAGCATTCCTGGAGACTGATGACTACCCACAGCGGGGCAAGGTACAATGTACATGTCTGGGTTTCGCTTTTGTCAGTCATAGGATAGGGTTGCCAGGCGTGTCTCTTTCAGGGCAAAGCATCCGTAAGCTCATCCATGACCTGCTTCATCTCCGCGCTGAGGGAATCCTTAGCCAATAGCTTGATGCAGCAGAAGCTGCCGCGAAAAGAAGACACAACAACAGTTTCTTGACCCTTTTTTCGGCCAAGCTGCATAACTGGCAGATTGTCCTTGCAGAAGTTGATCGGTAGGTTGCTTCACCCTCAGAATACATGTCTCAGAAACCTGCGCACCCGCCCAGCTTTATGCATAGAATGAATCACCGCAAAGCTGACAAAGATCAGCTTTCCCCCTGGTTGAGCAAGATATCAGGTGTGCAGTTATCCGTGCAGGGGTCACATGTTCACGGCAATGTCCTTCAAGCCAACATTAGTTTCTGATCGCACTCCCCGGTGCAGCTATAAACAGGCTAGGCAGGAGCGCCAACCACAGGCTGGCACCTGTCAAGCCAAAAGCGTTTCGGCGTGATTTGTGGGGAGCATCACAGGGGAATGTGCAGTCATGCAGTTTCAAGCTTCAAGCAACCAACTTGGGTCTTCTTCTCCGGCCCTACGTAGGACGGAATAGGAATTGCAGCCGATATGCTTCTGAGTGGGACTAGCATGTATGTTTCAACTGATGAGATCTTAACGTTCATTCTGGACTTTTTTGACCCCGGTTCGGCTTCCAACCTTTAGTCACTTTAGCTCGTGATCTTTCAGCTAGTCTGGCCCTCTGCTGTGCAGTCGAGTCGCTTGTGCAGCTCTGTGGGCTGAGCCTGTCAATCAGCTTTGCGGCTCCAAAAAGCGTCTAGTTTCAGTGGCACCAAGAACTGTCGTGGATGCGGGACGCTGAGGCTGCTTCACTGTTGGTACGTTTGGATTCGCATGCCAGCTGCTTACAACCTCCATGGAAAAGAAACGCGCTTGAAAACGAAGCCAGCTGGACCTGTCTTGCAAAGCTATACCGAAAGTGCTGCTTCCAAGTGAAAAAACAACACAGGCGCATGAATCGACTTCGAAAATCGAGCCTGCTGGGCTGCTCCTGGAGCTATGTCGACAACGCCGCTCACCCGCGCATTCCTGGACCAATGGGCATTCACTCAAATCTATGACAGGTCAACTTGCCACCCACCCTGAACGTTGCGACTGCCGAGGCTCCAAGCCAAACCAGCTATACCAAAGAAGAGCAGCAGCAAAAGACCTGCACCAAATGTGCACTTCGTGACGCTTGCAAGTAGTCGCTTCGAACATCTATGGCGTACTGCAAAAAAGCAATAATAACTCGCGCAGCGCAATTGCGTTGCATCTGCGGATTCATGGAGGCAACTGGCAATGAGACAACCGAAAGGTGCATAGCTGCTTGCCAAATGTAGGATGATTCAATAAACGGACTGTCCATCATCATGGATTATGCCTCGGGTGATCGCAGCAGTACTTAGACTAAGACAAGGTAGCCAACTCCACGCCTGCTCGGCGGGTGTCCATGATCCCGGTGACGCTCCATTGCAACCGGGGCCAGAAGCGAAGGCTTTGATGGGCTTTGGCTTCGGGTCATGGATTTAAGTAGGTCTAGGCTACGTGGTGTGGGGTCTGGGCTTTGAGCAGCGCCTAGCGCCTAGTGTTCTAAGCGCTGCTGCAAAGGCCTGACGGAGGGTGTTGAGTGTTTGAGCTTGACTTTGGTGGCTGATGGGTGATGGTGGGTGTCACGGGTCGAGGTCGAGACCGCTCGTTCTTCTGTACGCAAGGCTTGCGAAGTGCCAAAAATCATGGCGGTGATCCAGAAGCTGCGATCGTCAACAAGGCACTGCGTTGCAGCAAGCACTTCACGTGGCAAGCGGAAAGCTAACTAAAGACAGAGACGGGCATGAGCCTTGGCAGAACCTGATCACACACATCAATAAGTGGACGACCCTGCATGGTGCTTGTGGGTTGCAAGACGATTGGTGCCTGCCAGCAGGGACGCAAACCGGCTGTAGCTGATCACTCCTACAAGTTGCCATGAAACCCCTGCTTAAGATATTGCATCCATTTTGCTGCGCAAGGCGAGGCTCGTAAGTCTCGGGGCAGCCGCGGCAGCTTTGGCGGCCGAGGATAATTTCGTGCACCTCAGTGTGCTTCGCCAGCTGAGAGGTGAGTCAAGAGCTGGCTGTGAAACATCTGGGCATCACTCCTTGACTGCTGTGCCATACCACGTCGGGCCATGGGGATTGAAATTAGAAGCACTGGCCACGACAAAGCAATGAGGCTTCTTGACTTCACAGAGTGTTTGTGCTGCGAAAGGCGAAAGGAGGGTGGCTTTCTGTTTGTTTCATAGGGCTGGAGAGCTTCTGTCGTGGATCCTTCATATTTAAAGAAAGTGGCGGCTGACTAATCTGGGCCTGTAGCTCTAACTCCCATCCCCACCCGACTCAAAACCCAATTCCCAGCTCAAATCAAGCCAACCCTGAATGGACAACCCAGAGCCGCCACTTCCACCGAACTCTCTCTCCAGACATTCCAGATTCCGGTCTGCATATCACCGCCCAGCTTGGGGCTGGAGGATTTATGGCCGAAGGCCGAAAAGACGCGGGAAGATGAGAACACTTTGAGATGGGACCTTGCCTTTAGGCCCAGGGCGCACGTATGCGGGTGAATAGAGGCGCGCTTCCATCGTTCATTTTTGAGATGCATGTGGCCACGTGCAGACAGGATGCCTCGCGAAGCTTTCGGGGGTCCTGCAATGCAGTTGGGCTAATATCAGGCCTTTCGGGCTGGCCATGCGGTGTCAAAGGAGCTTGAAGTCTTGGTTTTGGGATGCACTGGGCGCGGGGCCTAGTGGTTGAGCGTTTGGTGCTGAACTTGGGGCTGGAAGGATTCCAAACAACTGAGGGGAGAACGGAACAAACCAGCTTATAGAGTCAAATCTTCAAAGATAAGAGGGAAAGGACGACATTCCGATAGTCATGGAACAGTTTTTGTAATTGCTGGCTCGTGTGCCTGGGAGTCTGAGATCAATTTGTCCAGCTTTTTGAGGTTGATCTAGAAACAGACAAGGGATCCCAATATGTTCTTCCTCATTGTAGCCGCTGTCTCGAATGAGGTTCTGCAAGTGAAGAAGGCAGCTGGTTCTTGGCGACAAGCACAATGACAAGTCCGGACATTGTCACTGAAGGCACGCCCTTGCGAAGACCTGCAATACTTCCGTAACAATTAACGCCCTTGTTCCTCCGTAATGTCTGCACTAAGGTTGAGACATCGAGCTGCACGTGATAAAAGGCGGTGTGCCAGTAACAGTACATAGATGCAGTTACAACCCGTTGCCGCTGAATGACATGACGTCTCTTACTGAAGGCAATTCAAGAAGTTTATTCAAAGACTGACGCTGGCCAAAACAGCGGCCCCTGCCGTTTTGGTTTTGAGGCGGAACCGCGGTTGGGGCGAAATGGATCGAAATGGCTTTCGGAAGGCGGAATGGTGACCTAAGCGGAACCAGCTAAAGAGAACCTTACCAGTCTCCACTGACGCCCCCCTGCTGCCTTGTAGTCGTGAAAGCTGATGGGGAAAGGCGAGGCCCAGTAGCGGTTGATGCCCAAACAGGGCATGAAAAGATGCCTTAGACTCCGGAGCATGTCGCCTGTTCATCATGTCGTTGGAGTTGTGTGGGTCGACATGTGTCAGTTCATGGCCCAGAACTATTAGCTCACGAAGTTACAACATCGCGATGCCAGGTCCCGACCCCCAAAACGTCTCGAAACGTGCTTTGTCCGGTGCTTGAAGTGAAGGGGCGAAGCTCCCAAGCTCTGCTCGTGCCTCACACTGAAACTGCTTCCCAGGTCACGCTTTTCCGCGCCAGTGGATCGCAGCATTGCCTGTGCTAGCGCGGCGCCCTATATTGGGAAAACACAATGTTTCAGGCGCCTGACTGGAATTCAAGATGACCATGCCGAAAGCTCATGTTGGATTTGTGCTTTGCAGAGCAGGCCGAAAAGACACAGCAGCATTTTCGCGTACTTTCTGGGCAGCGGCCGGGGTCAGAACTGTTTTGCACATGTTGGGCTAAGAAAATCCTGCAGTTCATCAGACAGCCAGACGATTTGCCGGAACATATTCAATGTTTCTGGCTTACAGAGCTGCTTGCTTTCAAGACCAGCGATATCTAGCGGCTTGGCAGTTGATGCGCATCAAGTGGCTCTCTATCGCTCTGGGGTCCGGCATAAGCTCGCCATAGGCAGTGTCCGGCGAATGTGCTGCCATGTCCTCCAAAGCAACACGGCTACGGCTGTGGATTCTGCGAGGTTTAGCGGTATCACTTCGGGGGTTCTATGTTCCGGCCCATGGCTCTCATCAAAGCAAATTTACAAGTGCATGATCAATCACGGGTGCTGGCAATCTGTAGGTAGCGTAAGCGGGTGGAGTGTCAAGCTCCGCACTGAATCTCAGCATTCTTCAAGTCCCTTCCAAGTTCAGCTGCTCGGCGCTTGTTTGTCATGGTATGCAATCTCAGTGCTAGGATCCGCAGGGACTCAGGTTGTGCTTTGAGCTCGGCATGATGGCAGCGCCGCGAGTGAATTTCTCCAGGTTTGAATGCCCAGCCCCGCCTCCAGTCTAAAGTTCAGGAAATACTCACGGCCCCAGCGGTCTGTCACGTCTGGGTGAGGCCCAATGCCTGCCTCCTCAGAGAAGCGGCCAAGGCTCTGGGTTTGTCGGGCTAACGGGCTCAGACTAAAGACGTGAGCAACGTCATGAGCTTACAAGCCGGAGCGTGAGAAACCGTACTCACCAATTTCAGGAGCGCTAAAACTCATTGTGCGTGTCTGCACGTGTGTCCAAGCAGATAACAGGATTGCCACGACAATTAGTACTGGCCTCTTTTATTTACTGTACCTGTCATGCTTCACACAGGTAGCTAGACAACTGCCAAGACTGGATCCTATCAGAAACTGGAATTGCAGAGCTGTCGACTTTTTGTGGCTGAGAGCTAGTAACCACAGAACAATTTTCGAAACACATCACTACTTCTGCAGTCCAGAGTCCGCCAAGCAAAGCCCCATCCTTGCCAAAAGCAAGTCAAAGCACGCTACTTCACGCACTGATGGTCTTGAAATGCACAAATACAGGAAGGAGCCTTTCCTACATGTCTTCAGGGAAGTGCAAAGGCTTCATGATGGGAGGCTGCTATGGCCTCATTATATGGCCCTCATTCACCAACACTTATATAATTACTTTATCAGAAGACCCTCAGCCCCAAGATCAGGACTCAAGGCCTTTCCCGTAATCCCTCAGTATCTGCAACTTCAGGGTTTGGGGATCAGATCTTAGATGCAGAGCCCCAAGTGTTAGCTCAGGCTCATGATATCTCCGCGGTGGCCAGGAGCCACCTCATCAGGAATCCCACTGCTGCAACAATTGCGCTCTTTGGGCACATTGCCAAACATGACTGGTCTGCAACCCTTGCCGAGGCCTCACAACGTGTGTAGCTGGCAACCTCGGAGACGGGAGCCGCCTGAAGGGAACGGTTTGAAGCAGAGCTTGGACGTGCTCTGGGGAGGATTCCGAGCAGGATCACTTCGCGAGCTATTCAGTCAGGCCATGGCTAAACAAATGTACGCAAAGGCATGAGTGCTTTGCCCTCAACTTACCGTACAGGCTTAAGAGTTTTGCCTGTACTGCATGCGTCGCCAAACTGAGTGGGTGTGAAGGGCACCATAACCTTTTCGCACATGACTCCTGATTGATTGACGTGAAAACGCAAAAGCGCGGGCACACCTTCACGACGGCACCCATGTGCTTCACGGCAACTCGGCTGAGACACTGCACCTGCAGTATAGAGCATTTTAGGGCCTGTGTTCTTCCATCTACAAAATGGCCATCACCAGCTGGCGCCCAAATGTCGCTAGAAGGCCCAAACTACATGCCATGCCATCAAAACCACAAGCGAGTGGAGACTGATCCTTGCTGCAGGTGAGGCATTAAAGCCATTCTGCAAAAAACACTCCCTCTTTCCCAAGCGACAGCTGGATGTGACGTCCATCCCGCCTGCTCGTTGTAGACGATGCGCGGCTCAAAGTGTAGTTGCCAGTATGCCAGACTCCCAAGGTAGAAAGGCTCCTGCGAAGCATTGCGTTCTGCCACTGATACAACATGGGCAGTGACAGCTAGTCATGTTCTTACAGACTTTTCATCCTAGCTCAGACCAACCTTATGTCTACCTATAACAATGACTGCCACAAAAGGGACTTTTCTAGGCAAAGGTTGTTGTTGCCACCATCGGGGTTCAGCATCCGGCTGAAAAACTTGGGGCTTGACACCTTCGGCTCACCATGTCACTTTCCAAAGGCTCCTGTCACTGAACGCTCCAAAATTCGTTGCTTGAAATTTAGCGCCTGCACTTTTGGAATTCCATCTATTTGAAACGCTTCCTTCCAAATCTCAAGACAGTCTAGCGTCTGGACTCCTCTGGTGTCAAGTTCCGGCCAGACACGAATCTGCGGAAATTGGCGGCGGCGAAATAACTATCAGTCTCGACCTCGCAGAAGGCAAACCCAAAATGAGCCGCGGTTCATTGAAAAAACGGGACTAGTGCGGAAATCGCAGATCTTTCATGTGTGATGCAGAGCAAAGTCTGGCCAAAGTTGTTGTCGACTGGAGTTCTGTACTCCAATCATGAAGACCATCAGGCACTTTTCCACGAATGGCACAAACGTGACACAAATCAAGCTTTCCGGACGGTATGCAGGGAATCATATTTAAGTTTGAAACCAAAAAAAGGGTTGGGAGAACTTCAACTCTTTCTTCAGCGCCCACGTCTCCTGTGAGCTCCATTCCCTTCTTGAAACGCAAAACGATGGCACATTCCCAGGCTCAAAGGTTAGGAATGGCTTCTGCTTTGGCAAGCCAAAACACTGCTATACTGTCATGAATCAAAGCGGCTCTGCAGACCCAATCCAAGAGCGGTTCCTTGGACGCCAAAGGATGGTTTCATGCATTTGCATATCTTTCAATGTGCCACATTTCAAAAACAGTTCAGCAGTGAAGGATCCACGCATTCTGCCCGTGCAAGTCGCTCAAGCGCTTCTGCTCAGTAGCATGCGAGCATCTTCACTGGCAGCGAGGTGCTCGAACAGGAGCAAGTCTTTCTGGTTTGCCCCGGAGGTCCTGTGTGAGCAGTTCTGTGTATTGAGCGGTATTAACAGTTGGGCTAGGCTTTGCGTAGCTTGGGAAAAGCCGCTACAGTATACCAAATTCCAACCAATAAGACATATCTTGCCATTCCAGTGGGGTCAAGCTGTTGGCCTCTTTGAACATGTTGAAGTGCCGGCTTTAAAGTTGGAAAAAGTGGCGGACAACTGTTGGTATGCTTCTTGAGGGAATGTTTGGTCATTTGCAGTCGTAATCTGTTTGAAGCTGGTTGGAGGAGTTGATTGAAAATGGAGCTTTGACGTCTGGGGGGGTGGGGGGTATATGCCTGGAGCATGATCTCCTAGGAGCTCACAGCTGATTGTGCTTTGAGTTCGCTACCCACTTCTTCATTTCAGCAGGGGCAAATCCCAAGCACCAGGCCAACCTGAAACCTTCATTATAACCCCACTAATGGAGAATCAAACGGAAAAGAACATGGAACATGAAATGGAAACTGGGGTGATATAGTGGTCTTGGGTTTCCCAAAGTTAAGGGCTGGTATCATTGTAACGTAAATCTGTAATTACTTCTACCTGCAGAGCGGAAGCACACGCCCACCCGACTATGCCAGGCGAGAGGCTCTCGGCGGCCTTGCGACGCCAGGGCAGCCCTCCGATCACCTGACGCGGGCTTTATTGCATCCTTACCGTGTCATTTTGATTTTCACATGGCTGCCTGTGCACCAGCGGTTTATTCCAAAATGTTCGAAGGAAGACTACAAAAAACTCCCCCTGTAATTAGGTAAGGCCATGTAATGAGGTCCAGGAATCTCACGAAATCTCAGAACTTCAGCCATTTTTGCAAGTGCTACCATGGATGTTGGGGGTCTGCCACGGTCACAAGTATGCCGTTTCGGCCCTACCGCTTAGAGTATGGTGTCTGGGGCCTTGCTGCAATCGGGCTTTTAGGCCCGAGGTGATGGGTTGGATGTGGAAAGTTTCGGGGAGATTTTTGCCCCATGCTTTGCCTGAGTTCTCATGTGAATAAAACAAATTCAGACACGGTAGTGACTCGGTTTTGATCTGCTTTCAACCATGAATTTACGGGCCGGAAGCCCCTGCAACTCCTGCGTTCAATTTCTTTGTTGGACGTTTTGGACCTCAAGTAGGGATGCTAGTGTTTGCAGAAGCGGAACTAATCTAATCATCATGTTAAAAGCCGCGCAGCGTAGCATGGAAGGCCAGCGGGCGGCAAGGTCCACCACTACCGCACCTGGCACATCACAGAGCCGAACTGGGGCTTTTTGCGACTGCTTCCATGTTCTAGCAGGTTGGCGGAAGAGCTTACCGACAATTCTGTCAAGACAAAGGCCTAATGAAGACAGCACTGCTTGGTGTTCAACTTTGCCCGTTCCGAAAACAGCATCCCGCAACTACTTGAAGGATGTTAGTCTGAAATTTGCCACTCTCCGCCACACCTCCAAAAAGCTTCGTTATCTGCTGCCGTGCGTCCAAAGCGGTTGCCTGGCACAGTCTCTGGAGCATCGAGTTGACTTTCCATCGTTTTATGGAATTTTCATTGCTATATCCGAAGGATGTTGAGTGCCAGCTATGCGCCCAACCTCATCCGGCGACGCCAGAAAGAAAACCAGCCTTCGAGGATGTCAGCTTCCGGAGAAGAGGCTTCTTAAGTCTTGAGCCCCATTGAATGTGCTCCAGCACTCCATGGATGTCGCCGCTGCACGTGCCAGCGTTATTGGAAGGGAGCTAAAGACACAAATATGCGTACAAGGGCGAGTTGGGAATAGATTGCCACCTATGACAAAAAGCAACTGTCCGGAATCCCTCCCTCCCTTCCTCTCATCCCTACTTCCTCCCCTCTTCCTCCCTCCCTTCCTGCCTGTCGCACTGAGGGCCGTAAGTCTCCGCAATTGAGGCGGCAGCTGCTTCCTTGCAACTTCGCTGAAAGCAGGACACGCTCGTTGTATTAGAGTTGGGTTTATCGCATTCTGGGCTGGTAAATGGGCCGTGCTCGACTTTCCAGTGACTGGATCTACAGGAATAAAACTTCTAGGTTGAACACAAGTGCACTCGAACCCTGCAGCTAGACACACCCGGACCACGCCAAGGTGCCATAACATGGGGATGAGAGTAAAGCTGGCTACCCTTGCTTGCTGGCCACAAATGCGTGTCCTCGCCAGGCCAAACCAAGGGGATGGCGCACAACACTGTAGGGGCCTGAAGAGCGGCTTTTGTTGCAAACGCGGGTACTCTAAAGCTTCTTCTTTATCAACGCGTTAACTTTGGCAGAGCGACTGAAGTCTGAACAATTACAGTAGAGATAGCAAAGTTCTTGAACGAACTACGAACCACACTCTTGATGGCATGAAGTACAGTAGCATCCCAGGTAGCCATAAGGCTCATCAGCAAGGCCATTCGAGGTCGCACATGACTGTTATGAAGCACTTGCCTCTTAGACATCTTAAGACTTGAGTTCAAAGCAAAAGCACGGTTTCATTGGGCCCTCATTTGGGATTGGTATCGCATCGGCCTCGCTGGCCTCGCTGGGCATCAGGCCCTCCAGGTGGTCACCTCGAAGCATCTCAAAGCAGTGGCTGTCTCTGGACATCACCAACTTTGGAGGCAAGCTCCACAGAAACTAGTTGTAGTTGTCTGGTGCTTGAAACTTGCTCTGGCCAACAGGGAACTACTACGTCCGAAGCCCTGTCCAGAACAAATTGGCAAAGGTAAAGGTGTAGAGTTTTGTGAGCACGCCAAACACTCAATATTAAATGCAGCAGCCTTGGATGCAGCGATGCAGACAATGGGGCTTCTCGCTGGCTCTTTTGGGCTTGCATATCGCGCTGGTATAGCAGGGAGCAGTTGTCAGAAATACGCATGGCGGGTATTCACTCGCTTCCAGCTGAAACGACGCTATTTTTTGAAGCTAGTGTGATTTTCATGGCCCGGCTCTACTTCATCATTATTTCATCTGCTGGCATCCACCCGCGAAAAAACAAGAGAAAGGAACAAAGGAAACATAATGTCACTGCCACTGCTCAACAATTTCGAATCCTGGCACCCACTTAGTCTTCCTTTGTCCATGAGCCGGAGGCTTCTCAGCAGCCTACGCTTCATAGGGGACGCCCGAAAGTTTAAAAGTTTGACCTCTGAGCCCCACAGGCCTCGCGGTGGGCAATAACGCCCGTGCCGTGGCCGAGTCCGCCACCAGCCCAAGGACTGGCTGCTTTTGCTATAGACTTCTAGTACTTGCAAAACATGCTGTCATAATCCCGTGAGCTCTGAGCTGACGCAGATTGATGAAAACTTTCCATTGACTTTGGTGTTAGCGTCTATCACAGGAGCAGGAGTGACTCTGAGAGCGAAACTAGTGAGCAACACATGTGAGTCCACTTCTCAACTCGCGCCTTTGCATGGGCTGGTGGACCAACGGACAAGAAAGTACCTGAATAAGCTGCAGCATGTTCGAGCAAACATCTCACTGTATGGGCAAAGAAGCTAGCAGCCGGTACGTCCAGGACAATCGCGATTACTTACATGTCTTGTTTTTACTCCCCCAGGATTTTCGTGCTCTAGATTGGGCGGGGAGGGATTCAAGTCTTCTGGTCAAGGTGCTGTTGTCGCTTGGCCTTTCTTCCACCACAACGGCAGTGGGAGGAAAAGCCACACGCAAAAAGTTCCTCAGACTGTGCAGAAAATCAGCACTATATTCAGGATGGCCCAGCCATCCGTACGTCGGCCGCTATCACACAGTCATACAGGATCTGTTGTTTACCACCTCACGCTTGCATGAACTTTTCGATTTCAGCCAGGCTGCTGGAAGTTCTCGAGGATCTGCCCCGACCACAGAGGCCACTCGGAACCATCCAAACAGCCTGCCGGACCCATGGGCTGGAGCCGTGCAAAACCTCAACGTTGACCCTACAAAAAAGAGCGGAGCAAGTTCTGCATGTACCAATCAATACCTGAATATGCAGGGAACAGCCTCCGGACTTCAGACACTCACTGAGCCCATAGGTCCTACTCTCGAGCACCTCAGGCCCCGGCTCAGGCACAGTGAAAGGAAGCCAAGCCCGTGCTCCCAATACCTCTGAATTTCTCTCGTGTGATGAGCTTTTGGGGTTGATGCTTGGAAGCTTTCAGGGGGAGAGGTTGGAGCCCATCCTTAGGATACTGGTAGGATATGGCACTGAATCGGCCATGTCTGACACGAAATGATGCGAAACACTCTTCGAGACTGGGCCGAATGAAAATCAGCTGAGCTGCAAGGCGGATTGGCGGCTGTAACCTTTGAGCCACATCCTCAGCTGTATTTGAGTATCTGTCGAAGGCCGCTGGGTGAGTATGAGGCGTTTAAGACAAGCTTGATTTTGGGCTTCTCATTGTCGACAAGCTGCGTTTGGCAACGTATGGACTAGTTTCTACTATCTACCTGTCGACAGCAAGAATTTTCACTGCAAAACCTGGATGTTCTGAGATACTCATCCAAGCTCGTGCCTGCGCCCGATAAGTGAATTCATCCAAGAGGCTGCAAAGCACAGGCTACCATGTAATGGGTCATGCCTCCAAACGCATGCTGCAGCAATCTTGAATGCGAGCTTGCAAGCTGGCTCCCCAAACAAGTTCTAGACTCTGCATGCAAACGTACACTGGCAGATATCGAATATTCAGATCGTCTGAAATATGCACTTTCTCCTGAACCTGCCCAATCCACCTGTCAACCTGTAGTTAGGCGTACTCATGACCCTGCCAGTGCCTGCAACACAGGGAACCTGTGACGTCACCTTTGGAAGCTCCTCGCTCGATTTGTTCGTGTAAGCTTTGGAGTAGCTAACCCATCGGATGACAGGGGTTGTGAGGTTTCGGAAGCTGAGGGCATCAAACAATCTGTGCTTGCTGGTGCTCAGGCGAAAGCAAAAACGGCTATACAAACACCATGTCTACCACTCTGGCCCTTGTACTGACGTCATGAAGCAAAGCCATAACCTACTCAAACACAAATCCGAACTCCTCCAGCATAAGTCTCCACATTAGATTGGATTGAATCCTGCAATCCATCGTAGTCGGACAAACCCCTCGGTGATCATCAAAATTGCCCCCAACATCCAAAGCGATGTTTCTCATGTAGCACAACTTGAAATGGCGGTGGAAAAGAAGCAGTAGTGAGTAGCGGCGGCTATCACCCATGGTCGCCTCTGTGGAGCACGCCATAACTTTGCCTTGCAGCATCGCCGCAGCGTGGTGGTCCGGAGCCTTGAGAAGGGCAATGTCAACCACTCCCCTACATGTATTGCACAACACCTTGTCACGTGCTTCCGCATCACAACTCCGCCTCCCTGACGAAAGCATAGGCAAACCAGCTTGAGCCTATCCCACCTTGCTGGTTGCTTATGCATGTATCAGATTGCTGCCGAAGCATAGTGACGTGCTTGGGACATCCCGTAGCCAAAGTATTGGTAGTCTTCTTCTGTTGAGATTTGCTGTGTTGGTCTCTTGTGCAAGCCGTTTCAAGGTCCATGGCGAGCGAGGCTTCCAGTGCGACGCCTTTCAACGAGACTTGCTACAAGTGGTCCTCACTGCGATCGTGTCCTGGCTTTACGAGGCAGAAAGAGGATTCCCAAAGGCTGTTGCGCCGCTTCAGCTGAAGTTCCCAATCTTTTGTCATAGCGCTGTAGCTGCCCATCAGCTTCCTGCATCACCTCTTACAGTACCTTTTCCACCCCATGCAGGACTCTTGTTGCCCAGCATTGCCCAGCTAAAGTCCCCCCTTGAAGAACCAACTGACCTCCAACATTCCTGTGAGAAGGTTGCAGAATCCTGCCAATCCACGTTGCAGTCGTCTGTAGTGAGGCATGTCGTCAGTCCTTCAACAAAACAAAACTAGCTCAAATAGCAGGCAGTAGATGACTGCATCCTCTGAAGGAAGAGACGTGTAATTTTGAGCCAACCAGATATCCCTATGCAAAAAGACGAAGCCCCACTTCCTGCGAGGTCTAGGTCGGGCCGGAAAATCTCCCACATCTCCAGTCGAATCTGTCGGGGATGGGATCGGCAGACAAAACCAGCTTTGGGTAGTTTTTGTTCATGTCTGCTGTGCTGCAGAATGCGTTGAACACAGCACTTTGAGCACTCTGCTCCACTGGTATGAGAAGCTTGACGAAACGTGAAGACGAGGATCCGCCTGCCCCAAAAAGCTAATCTTGCCAAGCAAAAAACATTGCCAATACTGCAGCTTTCCGTTGCAGATTTATGCTTTTAAGGCAAAGGCAGGGAAGCCTTTTAAAGACTCGCCAGTGAGGCTCATGCTAGTAGGCCTTATTGTGCCGTAGGTTCCAAAAACGCCTACATGCAGCCACTACTACACCGGCTGGCCCAAATACACCGAAATCAAAACTCTCGACGTTCTGATGGAATGTCAAAAGCGTAAAGGTTGGGCGCGGTTGGTGCCATCAGCAAACAGCCCGCGGCGCCTGCTCCCAACTTGTTCCGCAGTAGCATCCTGGTGGCCAAAGACAAAGCCCCGAGACAAAAATCATGAAGTCTGGATATCTTAATTTATGCGAGTGGCAGGGTCTGGGCTGTCAAGCCTGCTAAGTCCGATTTATAGCCACCTCCCATCATTTCCAAGTTTTTTTCACCTAAAGAAATCCCGCTGGGAGTGGCCCGACCAGTGACCAGCCTCCTGGACCTGTTTCGCGGCTGCGCGTGCTTCTGGGCAGTGCAGCCAGGAACAGTGATGTCCGCATTGACACCGCTTTGGGTCACCATTGCAGAAGAAAAAAACTTGACGATTACAGACCTGAACTGCAGAAATCTGTTGTGGACTGTGACGGAAATGATGACCCAACAACTGAACAGCGCTGCTGTTCCAATTACAATTACAAGGTCATGGATGCAACCCGCGACTATGTTGTCGGCTGAGATCAAACTGCAAAACTGGCGTGCTGACGAGTCGCACTACCCCTTGCTTGAAGACAAGCTTGAATCCAATATATGGGGCATTCTCTCGCAAACGCTGCAAGGTTCAAACAACCGGCTAGTGAAAGGGCCTAAAACAAAGAGCTTGCAGGTCTGAAGTCCACGGTAGAGCCATTGGGGAACAGTTGCTCCTCACTTACAGCAGAAGCACTTCGGTGCCGAGCTTGTGTAAGCCCAATAAGAAGGACCTCTCTTTTTTTGCCAGCTGGGGCAGGTCGGCCATCTTGCCGCTCCATATCAGGGTCTCATGCGCTCTCTGCGCATGGGATCCTGTCGGATCAGTTTTGTCAGAAACAGGAATTCCAGTGCTTAGCAATGTAATTTGGCGCGTGGCTTGTAAATGCTCTTGCAGAAGATGAGTCTGCTTGTCAACTCGAACTGTGGTGATTATTCTTTGCTATGCTGATTATCTTTAGGGTCCCTTTGAACTGCCTGCTGCTTGCATTGAAGGGGTGGGCGGCTGTATGAAAGGCTTCTTCCACAAATGCAGGGTCACATCGCTGGGGCGCCGCCACCTTGGCTCTTCAGGGTGCCTGCTTCATCGCAGCATCTCGAAATCTGCCAGAGTCGCTTGGACTTGCTGCACGTTGCTGATTACCCTGGCTTTCACCGCAATTTCTGCTTGCATAAGCTGGTTGACAATGAGGATTCAAGGCAAGACCTGAACCCATGAATCCTGGCAACACCAGTCCAAAAACATTCGGAAACGCGCATGCAACCAGCATGCAGCAGGGCAGGTTGACAACAAGCTCGACATGTTGGAAGGCAACTGCGCAGCCCATGACAGGGCGACAACCACTAGCTACTTCTGTCTGCCACCAAGGTGCAAGGTGGGCGGGTGCCTCATGTTTTTCTTTTTTTGGCCGCCTTTGCGTCCTGGCAGGCCGTTTGATGCCCTTTCGGCGTTGGTGCCTCAAATCAACCGGACCCGTCAGGTAGCCCACCCAAAACCGTTGCACGTCAATCCTATTTGACAGAACATGGTCGTACATGTTCCATATTGACCTGCGCATTCTAGCGCCGGGCTCGAGAACCCTCAGCAAAGGTCTGCATGAGAAAGCCCATTTTGACTAGCAGCCCTTGGATATCGGCCTTGGTCAGGACTTGCGAGAATAGCAAGAAGTGTTGATCCGTTCGACTGAGTAAGCGTCAGCCATGTTTGCAACTGTCAATGTACTCATGACAAGCTTACAAACAAAAGGGGCTCTGATGATTTGTTGTAGGAGGATACGTCGCCTTGTCTCCAGCGGCAGGGTCTTTTCGCTTTGTTGAAGGCTCGTCCTGCAAGAGAAGACCGATCTGGTCATCCGGGTCTGAGGTCGAGAATTTGGGGAAGAAAGGCTTGAGATGTCGGCATTACATCCACAACTTACACTTAATGCGTGTCTGGCACTTCTCAAGTCGGCTTGGCTTGTCAACAATGGAAGTAACTTCGAAAGGAAACCTCACAACAGGGTGTGGCCTTGTATTGTGTGGTTCGACATCATCATCTTTAATGAGTGGAGGCAGTTCTCCAACCCTCCGCTCGTTCTAGCCCCAGGCCATTGAAACCATGCAGGTAATCAATCACAATCAGCGCTGAGAAAGTAGAGAACCTGCCTTCGGCGGCTCCTCTTCCGGGCTGCCGATGAGGACTGTGGCCTTCGAGGCCTCCACGAAGGGGATAGCAGGCTTAGTCTCTCAAGTTCGAACTTTTGCCAAGCTCGGGATTGAGGGGCTCAGAGTTGCCGGGGGGTCCGAGTCAGGCATCACATGCATCGACGAGCTTACACCTCAACTCTACTGGCATACCGCACATTGTGACAACCCAAATATGACTGCTACATACTGCTACATGTTCTGACGCACGCAATTTCTCGGTAGCCTTCGACATGCTGGCAACCACTAAAGATTCTCTTTCAGTTTCTGCAATTTTTACGCAAGAAGCATATGAAAGGGGCAATGCAATGCACACACAACACGTGCATTTTGCCCCAGTTTTGATCGCAACATAGCGTCCAATTGAAAACTCTGACAGTCTGATGGCCATTCATCTGCCCACCTCAGCGTCCACAACCGGAGCATTGTCTGCTGATGCCTGTTGAACTCTTTCGACTCTTCTGGTGTTTGCCAAGTCATGGTTGCTGCTGCATTCAAGTCTCAGCTTCGCAACTTGCTACCTGTGCATGACGTTCTGGACCAGACGTTTTGAAGATTCCGCAAGTTTTGGGACCCAATCTTGATTAAGCCAGTAACCTGTCATCTGTAGGCTTGTGGGCCTTTCCGGCGTTTGGTTAAGCAAGCTGCCTCATCATCGTCGATGTCGACGAAGTCTTTGGGTCGCTCTGGGACGGTGGCAACCTGGAAGAAGTCTCCACCGTTGCGCTGGAAAAAAAAGGCTTTCCAAAGAAAAAGGTCAAAAAACGTTTAAAACAATGTCAGACATGTAGAAAAATTCGTTTGTCGGCGCTGCTGCAGGCTTGCGGCTTTGGCTGCAAGGTGCCCGTTAAACATGCTTACCATCTTGAAGCTTAAGATTTGGGCGGCAGGTTCACATGTCGTATGTATTGCCGAAAAGCTAGTGTTCTGGAGTTTCAACATGTACCCTCCATAAATTGCTGTCTGAGGTCGGGAACGAACAATATACATAATTTACAGCGCATTTCGTTAACTAGGCTTGCCAAACAAATGCATGAGTCTTTCAGCATTGTGCCTCCGTCTTCTTCCACAGCGGCCGCAAAGTCCCGTCGCCGAACTTTCGAACTTCCACGAACCTCTCGGAGCGGGCGCCAAACGGCTCAAACAAGAAAAGATGCGACGTCTGCATTCAACTCTCCATCGCAATGTTGCTCTGCTTTGCTCCCAGCCAATCATCTGGAATTCTTCAGCCAGCACAAATATGCTTGTCTGCTAGAATTTAGTTAAGGGAAGCGAAGACCATCTAGCATTGACGTAAGTATCAATCGGTTGAAGGCCAAAAAGTCATGACCTCTCTAGCCTCTGCGCTCTCTTGTTCTTTTCTTCTCATGCAAATCTCCCGAAAGAATTGATCGCCGAGCGGCGGCACTCGTTTCCAAATCTTTCGATTGGAGTCAAAGCGGATGACAACCATCTGTTGTCTCTCCTGGCCAGCATGAGGTCTACTTGGCATGGGCCTTGAGGGTCTGAGGATGCGGACGGAATGGCTGCATATTGGGGCTTCAGGTTGCATTTCATGTCAATGGCTTTGGCTGCAGTTCAATTCTTCACCAAGAGCTACTCCCCTGGTCGGTTGCCATGATCATAACATGATATCCGGAGCCTCCCCTGCCCTTATGCTTGCCTGTAGCTCCCATGGAGCCTCATTAACGCTCTCTCGCAAAGCAGCCTCAATCTTCTCGACCTGCACGGTATGAGCAGCTCCATTACCTTGGATGTCAAGGCTGAGTCCTTGCTGAGATCTTGCAAATTAGTGTTATGTCTCAAGGCTTTCAGATACTTTTCAACAAACTGGACTGCAGAACGCACATCGAACCAAACAGTTGTCAGTGGTCCACACTTTCTCTAGCTATGCAGAAAGCAGCACCCGATCCTATTCAAACTGTCTGACATGGGCACCGTCATGCCGGGCGGCTTCTCGATATGTACACCAGACCTGGAATGCTCAATCACGGGATTCTGGCACACATGGGCGCTCATCCTTCAAATGCAGGAGGTGCAAGGAAGACAACCCGGCTTCGTTGGCACATCAGAAGAAACATGTCAACCTAAAAGGAACTATCCTTGAGCTCACCATCTTCATGCTTTGATTCGATTTATGATGATCTGTCAGATTCTGCATGCTGCCCTGCGATAATCATCGCCCTGCGAGATAATCAAGTTGCGCGTGGACTGGACAGCTTCTGACGAGGAGCTAGTCCCCTTCTCGCACCAGTCCGGCAGAACGATTGGAATGCGGCTCCTCGAACTCGAGCTTGCTAAGCTACTTCTATCAGAACCTGTACTGGGGGTTGGGCGAAACTGAGAACTGGTGTTCGGCGTGGCAAGCTTCGCAGCTGACTTCTGTGCACTCAGTGTCCATGCTTTACAGCTTTCTGACCCCTAGCGCTCAAGTCTAATTGATGCCCCGCTGCCATGCGGAGGCGTCTGGTCAAAAACAAGCTGTCAAAACGAAGGGCTTAAGATTCAGGTGCATGGTTCCCACTACATACTCTACGTTGCAGACGCTCCCTAAACGCCACACCACATTTGCAAATACCATGAACACCCATACACGGGAGACGGAGCTTTATGCTGCTTTGGCTCTTTGAGCCCTCTGGGCGGACGCCCTGCCGGAGCACTCGGTTTATCGCCTGGGCAAGGATGCAACAGGTGAGGATTTTTTGAGCTGGCCTCTACAGAATCAAAGAGCTCAATCGGCACAAAATCCTAGTCTGGGATGTAACATACCAACATACTCCGTGGGACTTCTAGGTATGCAAGTCGCATCTTGGTCGCCTGGCACGTCCGACTGACGACACTTTAGCCGACCAAGTGGCATATCATGGTCAGCAAATGGGGAAAACAGCTAGAGGCAAAGTAGGAGCTGTTGTTGATGTTTTTGCACGTGTCCAACTCTAGCAGTTGCACTGCTTTGAGAAAAAAGGGGCTTATGAGATTCGAGGGTCTAGCTGAGGAAGCCTTCGGAATCAAAAGGCCAAACCTTTGCCTTGGATTCTGCTGTCTAGACGAGCGTCTCTCTCACAGTCTCAACAAGCCCTTCCCTAGACACTCCTGCCCCATGACACACATGCACTGAATCTTCGGCACTTTGACTGCACAATCGCATCTTCCCGGCCTGCATTAGGCTGCGCGCCCGGCGCCTGTTAAAAGATTGCTAAGCTGTACGTCTGGCAAGATGGACAAGGCTTCAGGCCTTCAGGCTTACACGCGAGAAGTTGAGGTACAGAACGGCATAACATCAAATACCTCTAAGCAACCACACTAAGGACTTCATGACATCCGACATGGTATGATCAGGAGCGCGCCCTGCCAGATTTGTATTGTGAAAAATTGGGAAACCATCCTGCGATATTTGTACTACGGCTGTGTGTACTGCTAGCACATGTGGAATGTCGCCATCACGGCCCATCTGGAAATCGACGCCTCCAGGCGCCCACGCACCGGTGCACCCCCCCACCACCGTCCCCTGACACCCTTTGAGCAACGTCTGCGGCAAACACTAACATTTCGAGAAGTCGCTTTGATTGCTGTTGTTGCTGCAGGCTGCTTGTAAACGCAAGTGCAGGCAGCGACTGGTTGCTGTTGGCCTCTGACTGAACCACAGAAAGTCATCGGCTCTTTGAATAATACTCTACCGAATGTGCATACCGTACTGCTGGACCTGCCCCTTCCGCGCCACTTTTGTCTCGGAATGCCTTTGGGGACGTTGCTCGTTGCACCTCGCGGCCTTGCGGCCCTTTGCCGCAAAGCCATGGGAGCATTTGGGAGCAGCTTTCAGCTCCGAGTGCCGCAGCATTCAACAAAGCGGCGTGTTGCAACGCATCGTCGTTCGCATGAGCGAGCACACAACTTGTTGGAAAGGAGCCACATCATCAGCTTCGTCATTCTTGCAGAGGGTGAGGCAAAGTATGTACCTTGTGTGTGAATGCGTCTAGCGTTTCACTAGAAGTCCAAAGGCCTCAATCTCAGCATGCAGCGGTAAGACGTCATCGCAAGGTATCCAGACGATTCCAGCAGCGGCAGCTGGCAGCTCTTGGGACTGCAAACTCTACGATGACAGTTCTGACATCTACCCCAAGCGACTTCACGCTGAAACCGCATCTGTTAGCCGGCTGCGGGTTCATCCCGACACTTTGCAGCCTCACTGCTACGCGTCGAAGCGGTCGATGCGGAGGCGCCAGGTGCTTGTAAAGCCGCATTACACAGAAATGAGGCAGCATGCCAACAAAAGTGTCGCTCGACCTTTGAGATTGGGGCTTATTAGGTTGTTGACGAAAGGAGAGGAACACAAAAACAACGCGCAAGCAAGAAAACAAAGCGTGAGACCGTGAGACTCAAAACAAGCATTAGGACATGAATCACATACAAAACTCCCATACCTTTTCTTGATGCCGAAATGGTGTCCACAGTTTTTCTTATCGTTCTATTCAGTTCTGGCTGCTCACACCTTTCCTCTTGCATTCTTTCGTGCTCCCGGCAACATCCTGACAAATGTTTAGGCTTGTGTGAAGTCTTAGGAGGGGCTTCATTTTACAACCCCACATCAACACTACGCTTGTAAATAAACAACTGCAGCGCAGCTCTAGGCTCGAGAATCCATACCCTCCTCATGATGGGCAATGCTTACGGTCGGAAAAACACTCTGGCAACGCCTGGGCCACCACTTCCCAGGAGGGCCTGCACATCAAAATTTGCCCTCAATGCTGCCCAGCAGCCCCCACGACTGAACTTTCTCAAGCTGACGCTTCTTGGTTGCATGAACTTGTTGCGTGGCCGCTACTGCTATGACCTCAAACAACATCCTGATCTTCACGGTCCAGCAGGGGCTGCTAGGGCAAATCAGAGAAGCCTGAACCTCCAGAAATCTTGTAAACACGAAAGCGAGATTTGGCCCGCGAAACCTTTAGCAGGTGCCGCAAGCTTCCTCGCAAAATCGGACAGGCCAGTTCCTGTGCCTGGCCCAAAATTTGCAGGGGACCCTTTAGGGTCTTTTCGTGCGGTTGCCAGCTCTCGCTTGAAATAAAAGGCCTGAGGATTGAGAAGAGTTTCCTCAGGTTATGCTCCGATGTCAATGTGGGACTTATGAACACTTTGCTGCAACCATGACATACCCCAGGCTCTGAAGGAGATATGCGCAGATGGTAATTTAATGCTTTGTTGCTTTGTTTCGGTCTGTCGAAATTGAGGGCAAGTATCATAAGGTCAAGCAAGCTCCGGCACAAATGCGGAGCTGTTAGGTCTGTGCTCCTCTCAGTGGAGGCCTGCGTGCCACAGCAAGCCGTGGCCAGGCCTGAAGTGAAACCACTCGCAATTCAGCTTCACTCTGCCTCTGGGGCATCTGCTTCTTGCAAGGTCCGTGTCAGGCCGGCAAACCTACTGAAAATGCAGGCCGAGAGTCTGCACCACCGCGCTGGGGCGGGAGGAGAAGGGCCGAGAAGGCTTCCTTTGGGTTAAGCTTCTAAACCTCTTCGTCATGTTTTTGGGATCCGCACGCGAGTCTAGGGTTTGGAGTTCGTTATGACTACTCGAGGCCGAGGATCAAATTCAGCTTCTTGCAATCCGAAGGAGCTTGCAAACTTAACATCTTCCATTGCAAATGTTCAGACACAAACGAAGGACAGAAGCCTGATCCTCAGAGCCATTGCCAGCTTTCCAAGCAAGTTTGCTGAACGCGACAAATTGCAAATGTCCATGACCTGCACGTTTTGATTGAATTAAGCTTTTGGCAAAAATGATCAAAAATGCATGGCCAGCATGTCTACCACACACCATAGCGGCGAACAGGCGAAACAACGGTTTCAGACCTCGGATCGTAGGGCACTTCTTTCCCAGCTCTCTGTCTCGGTCTAAGCGGCTGCTTCCTGAAGAACTCGTCAAAGTCGGCAAAGGAGACTCGCCCTGTCTGGAGCTCCATCAACATCAATGCGCTTGGCAACGCGCAAGAAGTGCTATGCAGCAGATGTAGCGTTGATGCCACGATTTTCACTCTGAAAGGCTTCAACGGGCAGCTTCCACCCTAAGCTCTTGTAGGACGCGCGCCCGCATTTATTTCAGCCTTTTCCGATCTTGAATTTCAGTGTCGAGCAGTCAGTGTCCCCCAATTCCTCAGGATCACCTGATATCCGGACAGCGCCACAAAGAAAACTTCAATGCTATGTCAAGCGGCTGCTTCCGTAGGACATGGCGTCGAAGAGCTCCTGGTGAGGGGTGCTTCAGTGCATCAGATGCTCCAGCAATCAACAAACGGGGCATATCCTCCCATATTGCAAGGTCCCAGCATCTGATTAGCTCTAATTTTCCACAGTTAGGACTCGCAGATTGTCCCGCAGAGTTCGTCAAAGAATGGAGTCAGGACTTGGGCAAGCATGAGCGCGCTTTATCCAACATGCTACCCATGCTTCAACACTCGTCCTGTACCGCAGTGAAAGCCCGTTCAGGATCTTGGCAGTTGATGCCTGCATGTGACGCATTTCCACCACAACGACACTTGTGCCTGAGCGCTCTTGCTCGGTCCGCACGTACAGCAAGCGCACAAAAAGGCGTCAGCAGCGGAAAGTGGGTCAGCAGCATCCCAACTCAAGGGCAACGTGCAAGAAGGCCTGGGAAAAGACGCCGTGCCACCAGCGGGGATGTCTCAACCGCATGCAGGAGATTCAGCTTCCCGATCTCCCCGGTGTGGCCTGTCGAGGTGCTAAACTTGGCGAGTAAGCCTAAACCGCAGAAGAAGAGGAACACAAACATTTTTTTTCGGCCCTGGAGCTGCAGAGCTGGAAACAGTAGCTGTGTTAGTTGTGGGCGCCCACGAAACGGCGCCATGGCATTTTCGCCAAAGAGCAACCAACCCTGCAACGGCTCAAGCATGTACTGCCTGCATCAATCATGTTGAAAATGTCTTGCAGGTCTCGAGGGCCGCCGTCCTCAGGGAGTCCCGGGGATGCGTTGAAGCTGTTTGTACGCAGACTGCTTTTTGTTGTCTGCAGTTGTGTTCATTCTTGATCTATGATCTTGGACCTTCCAAGATCAAGCCCGCGATCTGGAGAGCTCAGCAAGATGGCTATGAGGTCACGCCATCTCATGAATCCAATCATTTTTGCAAAGCTCCTGGAACGTGAAACTAAGCGCCTTGAACTCTAAGCGTTCTGAAATGGCCCCGAAACGTCTGCGCTGTCCTTGGGCGCCTGGGCCTGCTGCCAGTAGAGAGCGAAGGTTGTATAGCTGATTCCTTGGAGAGCTGCCAGTATCATGGTAAAAAGTAAAGATGCATAGTAGCTAACGCTTTCTTTTCCGTTGATCGGTTAGCCAGGCTTGTATTCACATCATCTGCTGACTCAGGTGAGTGAGTGTTAAGGGCATGATTGGCCACTTAAAAGGGTGCTGGGGTGATGGAAACGTGCTTGCCAGTCAGAATTCAGGCTTCAACCTAGTCTAATCTAAGCCTACGCGGCTAAGCCTTGGATTTGTCGAAGCTGTGCAGTACAGTATGGGATTGCAAACTTGACCAAAATTGAACCTCCTAACTGAATGCTTCACCTCGACCTACCCACCTGGATATTCGAAATCATGACTATTCCGAAGCCCGAATCCGATGCCACACAAACATATCATTTGTTTCAGCATCATCACACCCGCCCCCTCCAATATTAATTCTCCGTGTTGCGGGTATCGGAAAGGATGAATAAATGACATGAGCTGAAGGGCTGTCTTGGCCGCCTGATATCTTGCTGTAGAGACGATCCACCTCGTCAAACCTGCAGATTTCGTGGGCGTGTTCAAGCGAAACATGCAACTGGTGCTCAGATGGAGGTACGGAAGTTCCCAAGACTCCCTCAGAATGGTTTGCCCATATACTGAACCAAACGACCCACTCACCGCCGAGTGGCGTCTCGGGGCACTTCATGACGATGCTGGCATCCCTGCCTGAGATCGTTTGCACTGAGGGTACCCCCATCAACATCATGTCTGAAAGGGCCAAAGTGGGAAATCACAATTTCCATTGTCTTCTGTCTCTTTGCACCTAATTAGCCCGCTGCTACATGGTCACCTCTGGCCCTTCCATCATCCAGCTTTGACAAGTCGCCAGGCAGCAGCATCCGCGCGATCTCTTCGCTCTTTTGCACCTTTGCAGGCTGGGCATCTGGGGACTCAAGTGGAGAAAACGTTCAACGACATGTTGTTGCGCTGCCCCACTTTGCGAAACTACAAAAGAAAGAAGTGATAGGGCCTGATAGGGGTTGCTGGGCCTTCGTGGTCATCTGGTACCCCAAACGCAGGAAGCGCTGTGACGTCGCTTGTGGAACGTCGCATCTCACCAGCTCCAACATGGTGACGCGTCCCAGTGTCACAAGCAAGTTTGTCCTAACCGCTTTCCCATCCAACGGGAAGCTCTGCGCTGTGAGCAGCTCAAAGCTGTTCCGGTGTCAAACTGTCATGGGACTCTCAGGCGCCGCAATAGAAAGTAATGAATACATGTCTGTTGAGGCAAGGCTCTGCGCGGAAGAGCTCCCATTTGGAGATGCGGCCGTCCCTATCCTAGGAAAGCTCCGGGAGCGAAACATGCCGAGCTCAGATCTTCTCACGCTCAATGTAGGGATATGAAGGGCTTGCGCATGCCTCAATGGTGTAAGAGAAGCCCAGGCACGATGAAACCTCATGCTTGCCTGTTGTAACCCAGCTAACCCTAAAACCTGGCCTCTACACCCTAAGCCAGGTGGCGAGATCAATGCTTTCACAAAGCACACGCAGCTCATCATCCAAGCGCTCGACGCAAGAGTCCCTGAAGTGAGCTTGTTGTGTGTTCTATGCGGCCAGCATGCGCCCACCCGGTCTTCACTGCAGCAGGTGCTTGTGCTTCATGCACTTTGTCCTATATATATATGAATTGAAGTAGGGGATGACTCATGGCTTATAGCCTCGCAGGCCAGCTCAGAAGGGAGAGGCCTCGAACAGTGAAGGTTCCAACACGGCACCAAGCACCCCAATTTCCTTGAGTTTCTTCAGATTGTTACTGCAGACCTAGATTCGGCTGAATTTTGAATGCCGCGCTGGCATCGGATGGCATCGGGTCGATTGCATAACATGGTGAGATTTGACTCGAACGTAATTTGCTCATGGAGGAACACACCCTCTTACTGTCAGTTCTTGACTGGCGCCCAAACAAGCGGACACGAGGCTTTGAACTCCACAAAAACAAAAGCGTCATGATAGAATACTGTCGCGCCTGCTGAGCGCTCGGCAATACGAGGCAGTATCCTGCGTTTGCAATCCGGACTGACAAACAACAGCTTTCAAGTAGTCGCAAATAATTCCTGAAACAATGAGGCTAGTGATAGTAACATGCACTTGCTACCCGGTGCACATGCCAATCAAATGTAGGAAAGGCAAAGCTTGCATCCATTAGCTGGTCCGTGCTAGCAGTGCTCGCATTGGAGTCCATGCGACGAGGCACACGCCTCATGTTCCTTGCTTTGCACGTGCGGCACAGCTCACCAACAAACTGGCACACCCATGGAAAAATGTACAGTACAACTGACAGTGACTTGTACCAAAACCATGATAGTTTAACAAGTGCATGTCAGTCTGTGACTGGAAAAATGTGCAAATGCATGCATGGATAAAAGCTATTCAAAAACCCACGAATGTTCAGTGGATTGTGACGGTTCTGCATCTTCTTGCATGGCGCCAACTCCTTCCGCCAATTCATAAAATCTCTTGTCCGAAGCATGCTTTGACCAAGCTCCCAGCGACACACCGCTCAATGATGACCAGGATGGCACCTTGTGAACCTTGGCATCACAATTTGCACGTGAACTCGCGTGTTTTCAGCACGGCTTCAACAAGGCGCATAAATGCAATCGGGTCACATCGCCAGGTTGCCTCCGACCAGCCAGCAACTCAGGCATGCACCATCATCAGGCGCACACATACAAAGGTGGCAATCGTGTCGCTCTGTTCAGGGTAGTGAAAGTGAAGTGCATAACGAAATTGCACCAAAACATGTGTTTACGTGAGTGACGTGTGAGCAGCAAATTTGAAGTTGAAACATGCGCAATTAATCATGTTGACATGAGCTGGCACGCTCAAACTGTTCAGAACCTTTACGGTATTTAGCGGCAATGCGAGCCAGTGACCGTTGGCGTTCCGGTCGGCACGCTCACGGAATGAGGGCTGTACAGAGGTACCTGCAACCAAAGCCCAGCAACCATGCAAATTGTACACAGAACTTGCACACATGTTCTGACAAACGTAAACCTGATCAAGGACTTCTCATGTTAAACTAACTTGCTGATGACCACAACATGCCAAGGCATTTGTGAGGCACTGAAACATATCCACTGGAGCGGGACGTGTACAAAGCCTGGGTGCAACATGGCATGCAGGTGCTTCGATTGGACCAATGTGTCATCGTGAACTTGAAATGATTGATCTGCATGAGAGTGTCTGGGCTCAAAGATCTGGGTGATCGAGATGCCACAGCATTCTGCGATCTGACCTGGTCTACAGCATGCCAGCAAAAACAACAACGAGCATTGCAAACACACCTGGCATCATGCGAATGGCATTCGTGCACTGAGGCTGCCACATGCGGAATCTGCAATGGAGGTGCGATCCGCGTTGCGAAGGACATGGCTACGGGCAAAGCACTGCGTTTGCTACGTACACACTCAGCAACATGCACGCGCGAATTCCAGACCATGTGACTAATGCCGCCATGAGATTTGAGATTTGAGCCTGCAGCAACTGCACAACATGATTTTTCGGCTNNCCCCCCCCCCCCCCCCTCCCCTCTTCGTTCTGTGATGCTCACCATGGTTAAAAGGCCCTGGCCAAAGAGGGAAGCTTTTCTGCTGTCATGTGGCCTTGCAACAAAATGGGGTGAAAAAGGCCCTAACAAGCTCCTGGATAACGTTCCTCTCTTAGCACTTGATTCTCTGAGTCTCGAGCAGAAAAGGAAAATTATCCAGGGCAACAAATTTGCAAAGCTGTGGGCCCGACTAAGGAAAACCACACCAAACATGGGAACGACCTGTTCTGCGCCTAACGAAGCTCAACAACCTTGCTATCAAAGTTGTTTCAAACATGAATGCGCTGGCGTTGTCCTCTCCCATGTTCAGCAGGCCTGCTTTGAAACAATGAAATTAAGGACGAAACCCTGGGCTCGTCGATCACAGTTTGCTTGCTGGAGCCGTATTTCGAAGCAACATCCTCAGGACAGCATTTCAGCGTGCAACACTCCTAGCCCGGCATTTATTCCAAGCTATGGCGCGCGGAGCAGGTCTTGTCATCGCCGCCCATGTTGACGCAAAGACCAAGGTTTGGCCGGGACTTCAACCTAGGATATCATCAGCAGAACCAAACATCTAAACAGCTTCATGTCTGAGACACGGGAAACATCTTGAGACTATCTTGCGAGTTAGGGCCACGCAACAGAGCAAAGCAGCAGGATACTTCTTGACAGAATGACCACAACGTGTTGACAGGTTCCTTCAATTGAAGGCTGCTCTCCCGCTCGAGCATTTGCCAGCCTAAAGCCATACAAAACCATCGCACGATGCCAAATGCAGCTGGCCGTCTGGTAGTCTCCACAAAGTCCCTTCATCTGTCGGTAGATTTCCAGGACCTGCCTGTTCATGCCGGGGTCATCCAAACAAGCAACGCGGGTTACGTCTTGCGAAAATTTTCCACATGATCATCTGGTGAATGTTTTGAAGCCCATCCTGCCCCTCCCCGCTCCGCCCTGGTTGTCATGCAACCCTAGAGCAGAGTTCAAACAACTGATCTGATGCCACTTGGATACAAGCTTGGACTTTCAGCAATGTGGCAAAGCCTGCGCAAACACCGGAGGTAGGTGGGTTGCACACTTCTCACGCCGCAATGCATAAATCAGGCTTGGCAATGCTTGCGCTGCTAGAATTCCAAAGCTCCCTGTGCGATATATGAACATGAGATCCCAGTGCAGATGCAAAACTTGAGTTGCAGGTATTTGGCTGGTCCGGGTGCGCAATTCAACTGTTGCTCCGCTGCTCACCCTTGACCGCATGATCTCCAAATTGCCTTGTCTAGGAATGGGCTCTGCTTCAGAGTCAGCCCAGCTGTCGGCCCAGGCACTTGACTCCAGTTGCGCCGACCGGGTGGCCAAAGGAGATCAAACCGCCACCTGTTACGTCAAGTCATTGCAAAAAGCAGAGTTGCAGTGCTCAAGGTTCGCATGGGCTGGAGGGTGTGCATTGGAGCTAGGAGCTTCAAAGGCTGAAAATGGTTGCTGAGGCTCAGGGACTACATCAGTGGGTTTTTCAGCTGGCGGTGGGTTTTCAGTTGGCACTATCCGAACTGTAGCAAAATGCCTGCTCGCGTCACTACGTGTTCTAGGTCCGATGCCAAGCTGGTTTCGGACCCCAACAAGAAATGCAAAAAGAGCGTGCCTTAAGTTAGGTGGAAGCGGCTCTCTCAGCCCGCATCGCTGCTCTGATCGCTTGACCCCTCCAGCCTGTGTTGACGGGGATTTTGCCCTCCAAAGAAGTGGCGCCAGACTTCACCAGTTCTGTGCCTGATGTGGGCCAGTAGCTTGCGGTTCAGCGCTTGCAATAACAGTGCTAACAGTTGACCTTTCGCTGCCCGAAGTCAGCATCGGCCTTTTCCGGGCTGCGCCAGGCCGATCGCTTCATACATCAGGATCTCCGCTATGGCCTCAGCATGCACTTCTTCTTGATTCTAAGTCTGCTTTCTTGCATTCTTTCGTTCGGGCCTGCGCAGACAAATCCGGCCCAATGTTTGCTTTCTTTCCTTCTGTCCTTCAGAACTCCCTGTTTATCGGTCGAGAGTTTGTCTTAAGCCTGGCCACACCCAGGTTGGGACAGGCAGCAAACAAAATAAACGATCTCCTTGTCTTTCACCCGCTCTTGCTCACTCGCTTGGTGGCATCAGCCGAACTGCCTCAATGTACCTCAATGACTTACGGCACAAGGTGATGCACCACCTGAAGGCCCGCACTGTAGAAACTGAGCTGTATGGTGCAAAGTTCAGGTGCGCTCTTAATTATTCTGTCAGACTCGACTCAAACAGAACCAAACGCCGCACCACCGCCGTCCAAGGCTCGAAGCAGTCGTGGACTTCAGCCACCTCCAGGTCAGATGGTTTCACGCCTGCAGCTGCCAGCATCCTTGAGACCACCTCGGCTGGAAGATGCTGGAAGCGCGTCGGCAGTCTGAGCTATTGCCACACCCCCAAGATGACAATAATATGACGATGACTTAGACTGCTCTCGACGAATACGCCCAACGAACTGCATGAGCACATGGTAAGACATCTCATGTGACATGATGGGCCGGAGCACAGCCCTTGCAAACACATGGGACGATATGTCCCAACAAAGGTGAGGTCTTGACAACGCAGGGGTGCACCTGGTCCTCACCAGCCAGGCCCTCTCTTACGCTGGGCTTTGAACATTTGCTTTCTGAGTTGCTGTAGGCCTTGTAGGAAAGGAGCAGGTCTAAGACCAGTAGGCAGCACTCACATAATAATTTTTCGAGTGGGGCCGGGAAATCTCACCTCCCCTTGGCTTTAGCCAATGAAGGCTAGCGGCTAAACACGAAAACCAATGGAGTCCACATAGGGCTGGGGCTTTAAGTCACCAGGCATACTATTGCATGTGGAAGCCGCAACTTCGGCGGGATCCCAGGGGTCGAGCATCGGGCAGAGCGGCCCAGACAAGACCAATCTCTACAGCTGTCCTCAAACATGCTTGTCAGAGAGCAGCACTGCCAAAGTACCGAATGGACCGCAGCTGGCACTAACTTAACGGACGCAGCGACAACAGTTGTGAGTCACACGGAAAGCGGCGTATGCCATGATGTAACCTGATTCGAGCGCCGCAACAGATGCTTGGCAAGAGAGCGCTCCGGCGAATCCTCCAGTTCTCGGACGCGCTGCAGTTCTTCATTCAAAGAAGGCAGCTCGTCCATCTCATCAGGTGGCACGTTGAGGCGTTGAAGTGCAACGTTGATGCGCTTTTCCATTCGAAACTCCATGGCTCTCATGCCTTCCAAGACCTTGAAAATGGAGCGCTGGCTCGCCTGTTCTGACTCATCTCGAAGCATTGTAAGGAATTGTCGGTACAGGATCACACGTTCATTTGTGGGCGACCTGTAGCTGGTGCAGAAAAGCATCTCCACCAGGTCTGCTGGACGTAAGCCTGAAGCTTCGCAAAGCTCAGCCCGCAGATTTGGATCCGACAGGATTTGCACAAGCTCACTCTCAGAGATTGAGCCATCCTGGTTGTTGTCCAGCTGATGGAAGAGCTTGGTGATCCTTCGCCTGGCCCGCTCCTGGTGTTCCTGAGCAGCTTTCTGGCGGTCCTCATCCTCTTTCACCCTGGATGCAGACATCATGTTGTCCGAGACTACGGAGGTGAGGATGGCAAGCATCATCCAGTTAGATAGCATCATAAAGCAGTAAAACAGGATCTGTCCTGCCACTGTGGTAGTGATAGGAGCAACGACTGACTGGTCATCGTTCATCAACTTGAAGAGGGCCAGAAAGGAGCGCCACACCGACCCAAAGTTCTGCATTGCATCTTGTGGAATCTCACCAGGATCACTGTAAATGTACCCCTCACCTACTAAAGTGGTGAACACAAGGGCAGCAGAATAGAGCAGCAGAAAGGTTAAAAGACACACCCACCCAATGCTTGCCAAAGACTCCACTACACCGTTGATGAGCTTGTACAGCTGCTTCACACTCCTTAGCAGCCTGGCCAGACGAAGCACTCGGAACACCCGCACCACACGCAAACTCCTGACCAGAGGCATCGCAACTGTTGAGGCTTGGCTGGGACCTAAAATCAAACTTCGCAGGTACTGGTACGATGGGATCATCCACTGCTCCAAAATGCCAAGCAGGACGATAGTAAGGTCCAAGTAATGCCAGGTCCAATCCTCATGCACAAAATAACTGCGGCCATGATAACCTATCCTGACGGTGAGCTCAAAGGTGTAAATGATTAGCATCACATGCTCCAGCCACTTCCAGTACGGCATGGGGTAGTCTAGCTCCAGCCACATTACGATAGCATTCAGCACAATCATGCCCATCATGAAGCTCTCAAAGGCCGGGTGCTGAGTCCAAGAAAGGTCCGACTGCACTAGATATCGGAGCAACTTGAGCCCACGTGCCACACGTGCAAGTCTTAGCAGCCGCAGGGCCCTTAACCCTGCAAGGTGCAAGTGTCCTGAGCTGCCCAGACTAGGGAAAATCACTTGTTCAAGAATGCCGCTAATGACAATGATGAGGTCAAGCCAGTTCCACCATACGATCGAACATTGCCCAAAGAGGAGGCTGCGCTGGTAGTAAAAAGCCTTGAGGAGCAGCTCAAGGCAATAGAAGCACAGGAAGCCATTGTCAGCCCAAGTGAACCAGGTCTGTCTCTCCTCAGCGTGAAACTCCACGCCCATTACAACCAGGTTTGCGATGATCACTAGCGAACACAAGGTCGTGAAGGCGTTGCCATGCACGAAGGCTAGGCTGCTAGGGCCGTGCCCATCCTCCTCTTCGTGGCTCAATTTCCAGTGCTGCACTTCCTTCTGCTCTATGCTTTGGCGCAGTGCGGCCAGGCTTTGCTCCAGCGGAGCTTTCTGTTCAGTGAAGGCCTTCTCAAGCATCTCAATTTGATACACTAAATCTTCTTCCTGTATCCGAAGCTCCTTCAAGTCTGCCTGCACGGTGTCCGTTTCAGCTCCTTCTTGAAGTGGACCATATCCCCCGCGATCTGTCTCTTCAACGAGCTCTTCCTGTACACAAGTCGCTGCTGTGTAGCCATGGCTTCTGGGGTCACTTGCCATGATCGCTGCTCCAAACCTTCTTTGACCCAAATGGCTGCGATGCAGTCCGAATCTCCATCTGAAACCTCCACCGGCAGTGATACCACCTGCGACTCAAGCACGTATCAAGCGCAAAGTCCAGAACATCCCCAAACCGCAATCATTAATACACCCCGTAGGCAACACAAATGATTTGATGGCGAAAGTCGGCTTTGGTGGTGTCCATCACAGCCAGGTCCGCCGGATCGGACCACAGGTCGCCTAGATCTGGGGCACAGAAATGCTACAAGTATTGGGGTAGAGCGTGCAAGGTCTCTGTGACAGGCTCAATGAGAAGCCCATTCTTCTCCGTATCTGCCGCAACAACGTGCCCAAGCGAATTGCAAGGTCATTTCAAGTTTCAAGCTCCCGATTCTAGGCGGAAGCGCCCCAGTCGCATGCTTCTGTGGGTGGACTTCTCGACGTGCACAGACGACAGACAAGTACAGCAGTGCCAGTAGCATTAGCAGAACTAGCAGCTGGCATGTTGTATTATCCCAAGCCTGGTTCTCGGTGGTATCTTGTGCAGTTTTTGTGTTCCCATGCAGTCAGTCGCAACCACACACACGGTTGATTCGTCCGCCCAGCCTGCTCCATAGTCTGCTGCCACGATCTCCACAGCGTCGTGTTTGCTGAGGCCGCACTTCTGGAGGCCCTGGCAGCTGCTCATGGCTGCTCTTGCTGCTCGATTCAGGCCCCGTGCAACACTCCCGCCATTTGGGGGCTACAGGAATTGCACAGGATCTCACGTGCTCAGAAACTGAAGGCCAAAAGCTGTCTTGCACCCGAAGCCTGCAAACACTGATCCGCGCATGTTGCAGGACTCAAAAGATGCTTCGGGCACAGAATTCAGAATCCCTGCGAGGCGTGCGCACGTGTGTCCTAAAAGGTTGCTGCTCTCGTCTTGACTAATGGCAACCTTGAAGCCCTTTCATCTGACAGCTTCCCTCCTCCTCCGACACGAATATGGCAGCAGCGCCTGGCTACGTCACAGGTCTGCAGCCATCTGCATGTTGTATCAAAGAAAATACCAAATGCAAAGCCACGGCATGGCCGTAGACTCGCGTAGCACGCTTTTAAGAAGCTAGCAACAGTAAGCAGGACGTTTTCATGTTGCGGGCCCAGTGGCCGCCGTCAGAGACCTGGGAGCAGTGCGTCGCTCGCACAAAAGGCCTGGCAAATATCAGGAAGGTGGGGTTACTCTTGTCAGTTGCAGCACAGGGCTTATGCCAGACCAAGCCGCTTGAGCTCCTCATTCTTGAGGAACTCAGGGCCCGAGACGGCCTTCTCTAGCGGCAACTTGACCTTCGTAGTTACGCTTTTAAGCAGTATAAGGAGCTTACTTATGTTTGCCTAACCCTACGCATAGAGCTGATATGCTCAGAGCAATCGTTTCCGTTGACTAAGAGTACCTCTCCAAGTAGTCTCATAGATTATAAAGCTTGCCACACGGCTCGGAGTGAATCATACAGTACTTCATGCAAAGCTCCGCGCAGAGCTCATTGCAGCATCTTTGGGAACAAAGAACGTAGCAATACTGCGAGCTTTTTTGGACGCTTTGGCCTTGAGCTTTGGTCTGACATGCTGGGCCTGGAAGACTTGCCCTGCAGAATTTGAGGCCGTAGGGCGCACCAACCACTTTGAAGCAAATATATCCACATGCGACAGCCCAGCCTAGTCCTAGTAGACGTGGCGCTAGGCTAACAGATGCTGACCCGGCCAAACAAAGGCATGTCGCCACTCGGGCCCCTGAGGGTTTCGTGAGAGTCTCGTGCAGCTAAGCTGCAGTGTGCATGTGCGCTAAAGGGTTCTTGTTGCCTTGGCAGCGCTGAGTTTTGCAGCAGTGGTTGAGGGCTGGGTCGTGGGTCGGCTGCGCACTTTGTGGATCACTTGTCAAAGGCTCTGGATTGTAAACTTCAAGTGGGGTGGTCATCGAAGCTGGCCTCAAATATGCAGTCAAGTTGGTAGCGCATATGGCTGAATGAGGACATGAACATGACAAGGCTTACCGTCTTATGCTGCTGTAGTCGAATTGCTTTTTTCCTGCCAATTGGCTTGACGCATCCAGGGAAGAAAGCAGTGTCCAGTACTTCAAGCACATGACATGAGCAGTAGAACTCCTGCATGATTTGTGGCGCCTTGTCGCGAAAATCGCAATTCCTAATTCCTGAGTTTGATTAAACAATGGCTCAGGCAGTCAATCAACTAGTACTGCGAGACGTACGTAACGAGCGAAGTGGAAACCCTTGAACCCTGGAGACGAAGCTCTGTCATACAGGCCAAAAATCTACGGATTAAATCAGGGTGTCACAAACAGCCTCAATGATTTGATATGCATTCATGCAATGGCACACCCCAACTCGTATGCTGCATCTAAGTATCCATTAGCGTAGGCCTTCACGCCCACCGCAGCTAGATCGTCCATCTTGACCTCCTCAGCTCCAGAGATTCAATTTGCTTCAATTTGCTTGGGTCAGACATCAGCGGAGCTGGGACGTACTCTCCCGTGCACTCCCGTGTGGCTGTTACAAGGACCTGTGAGGATTCCGAATTTCGACGCCACAGTAGGCCCGGCTTGGAACGCCTCATAAAGGCTTTGAAGTACACGTCCGCATGCATGGATGAGCTGAAGCCTGCATCAAGCATGAAGGTTCAACTTAACCTGGACGAAAGCCATGGGTTCGGAGGACCGAGGTGAAGTCCGTGTACAGACTGCGATGCAGTCTCAGGCCAGCATCGTGAACAACAGCTAACGAAAGTGTCAAGCTGGTAAATGCTGCACATGTGCATGTTGCAACCTGTGTGGTAGTGAATGGGCTGACACATTACACTCGTCCAGGCCCTTCAGGGCGTCATTCTCTGGAGCTGCTAGGCCTGAAGCCTGGTTCAGAATAAGGCGATAAAACCTTCTGGACGCTCGATTATGTTTGCCTTTGGGCAGGCATCCTGCTTTGACCCTCGGAGCATCAGCCTCCTTTCAGGTGAGATAACTTAGCTCAATCAGGCTGAGTGGCAGGATGCTTCTCCAGGTAGGCCTTGGCCCTTCGGGCAAACAGCGCCGGGAAAGTGAAGTCGTCAATGCCTGTCGAACAACTTTTGTTCATAATCAGTCATGTTCTTGGGGACCTTGACTCGCAGAGTAACAATTCATAAGCCTCGTAGCTGATGCCGGAAAGCCCAAGCTGCACCAGAAGTCATGGAGGTACATCATCCGAACTGAAGCAAAAGATGAAGTCTTCTTCAGTGGAAAAATTTGCGCATCAATCATCGCCTTTGCAACGATTCCGAGATCTTGCGTGTGTTTCCGCTTATGCATTTCCTGCACCTCCGTCTCAGCACACAGTGCTCGAGCCTGTGTCAGAGTAAATACAAGTACCACAACACTCCCCTCACGCCGCTCATATCTGTACAACTGCTTCGCATGTACAGCAGGCTTTTGCGCTGCTCCAAGCCTGCTTACCTCCGGCCTTTGGCAGCACGTCATCTGACCCCAGCCGGCCAACTAGTTCCAGGTATCCAGCAAATGCAAGCCCAAACTCCGAACACACCCGGCACACCTCTCAGTGCAATCCATTACAATTGTCCTCAACTTTCATGCTCCCGCGCAATGCTCAGCCAGTCCCCAGGCCTGACTGTCGCTTGAAGTCAGCCGCCCTAGCAAGGTAAGTGCCACCAGTGCGGGAGTCGGCCTGTGGGAATGCTCTGGCTTGAAGCAGGGATACAGTCCAACGCTAATGATCCAGCAACTTGTGGCTAAAGGTCTTCCTAGCTGGTGTTACAGGAGGGTTTGAAAGGATTGCAGAACCGAAGTTGCAAATCCAAACGAGTCGGCACTTTTGCGGTGCTTTTTTGCAATGAAATCTTGGGTTGGGGACAAACTCACACTGTAGCAATCGGCCAGGAGTTCCCGCTTGAAACCAACATTAGCCACGCAATCAAAATGTCGCGGCTGCACAGATACAGATGCGTGTGGGGTTTCCTGAAGCAATGAAGTTGCCTTGCGCGGTTCTGCTTAAGATTTGTTGTCCAGCATTCCAGTCCAGAGAGGCTGCCGAAGTGTGCGAGGAATGTGCTTATGAAGAGACATGACGTCCCCAACCTCCGTCTGCACCTCCACACCCACTGCCATTACAATGTCATCGCCGGCACAAACAGCACCTGCAGGCTTCCTATCTCGCGCATCTCGCCGAGGCGAAGCTACGCCAGTATAAACAGAAGGCTCCACGGCCTCATTCAACCCCGCGATATGTCAGAAAGTCTTAAAGTTCATATCTCAGCATAGCTTGAAATCTCAACATGCTAACCACTACGTCTTTGGTGCTGCTGGTGGCACGAACTGCTTCGGCACAAGCGAGGCCTTGGCTACACTCCGGTCTTTGAGATTTGGGGCTTGAGGGATTTGGACAGCTGAGTCAGGCTCAGGACTCAATTAGTTTGCAAAAGCTGCATGAGCAGGATCGCAACCTCAAAGGTGCGTGCCGTGATCCTGCGGTCTTTCCTTTCACGAAAGGCTGCGCATGATTCCGAGGTAAGCTATTTTCTGGATGCTAGAGGGATCCATTGCCAAGTGTGATGCGGCGGCCGACAATGACGAAGTCTGTTGCTGTAAGAGCTACTTATTGAAATTCCTTGCTCAGTGCCCAAATAGAAAAGATGCCCACATCCATGCCTATGAAGGAGTGGTCATGTCTCAAAATGCGGCGACCATACATTTTACAAACATCTTCCATGCTTCGTTAACAGCAAGGACTCTATGCTGATTAGGATGTTCAGTGACTAAGCGAAGAATATTTTTGGCTCTCAAGGCAAGCGAGTGTCGGCCCAGCACCCTCATGGACGCATTGAAAGCCGACGATGAAACCAAGAGCAGCCAATAGGATCCCTGTGCCATCTTCCCGTACACAAACTTGGGGGAGCAACGTCAGAACAACAGCATTCTTGCTTTTCATCTTGTCTCCTGTAAGTCTGATAGTTGTGTCCGCAAAACCATCTTGCGGCCGGCGTGCCTCCAGAGGCGCAAGCAGCCTGCGACAAGTGGAATGTAGCAGCAGCAGTGTGGTTGAATCAAGGGACCCGGCGGTGGCGGTGGGTGGTGGTGGTGGCGGCGGGGGTGGTGGCGGCGGTGGCGGCGGTGGTGGTCGTGGCGGCGGGGGTGGCGGTGGCGGTGGCGGTGGCGGCGGCGACGGTGGGATGGCGGTGGCGGGGCGGCGGCGGTACTGGTAGTAGTAGTAGTAGTAGTAGTAGTAGTAGGCCGCTGCCTCTTGCTGGACCCAACTTCTTTCAATGCATTCAGGATGATCAGCTGGTGGTTTGGGGGGGGGTAATGTCGCCGCTACAACCGTACAGGATGATCAGCTGGTGGTTGGGGGGGTCATGTCGCCGCTACAACCATACTTACTGGACCCATCTTTTTACTGTTTCTTGCCGCTGTGTTTGCTCCTGCCGCTGCCATGATCCTGCGTGCGTAGACAGACATCCGTAAGGCTTTTAATCGGGGATGAGGGGTCTTCGTGGGGGACCCAACATTGCAAAGGTCAGGGCTGCGTGTTTTGCTATCCTCTAAAGTTAGTTTCTTCTTGTACGGCTTGTTTACACGCCGCTCTTGCTTCTGCTGCTGCCATGCCCCTGCTAGCATAGAACCAAACTTAGAAGGTTGTTTCTGCGCGACTGACTGAGTAGGTATGTTTATGAAACTAGGATCATCCCCATTGGGGCTCAGCGCCGAAAGGCCATTGAGCAGCGTGTGGAAGAGTTCCAGTGGAAATACTGGAATGCTCAGCAAAACTTTTGGCAGATGGTGGGTAACGTCCTCCGCCACTGCGACGCCTCGAAGTGAAAGAAAGCCGGTCGCGGTAGACTGCAAGACTCCAGCTTCAACCCCGAAACCTGGTTTCCGTGCCCAGATTTGAGAACCGAAAATGGTTACGTGCAATTTCACCACTTGCACATATTCAAGCGACGCTGCGCATGCATTTCGGGTGGGTCCCGTGAGGGGCACCCGCCTAGTACTAGTAGTAGTAGTAGTAGTAGTAGTAGTAGTAGTAGTAGGCGCCCCCCCCCCTACCAACTATGTTTGCCAGATTGCGCATGTTGAAACCGCGTAAAAACTGAGGAAATACTTGCTTTCGT